CAGATTTGCGATGGCTAAATACATGTAGAGCTGTCCCCGGGTCCGCTTTGGTCAAGACGAGCGAAGAAGAGAGGTATGCCTTAAAATCTTTAAGGGTTGTCCGGCATTCCGAGGTCCACTCGAATGGGTTCACCTTCTTCATGATCTGAAAGAAAAGAATCGCTCGGTCTGCCCATTTGGACATAAAGCGGCTAAGGGCAGCCAGACGCCCGATGAGCCTCTGGACGTCCTTCAGCTTCTTGGGAGCCTCCATGTCCATGATGGCCTTTACCTTCTCGGGGTTCGGCTCAATTCCTCGTTCACTCATCATATACCCGAGGATTTTTCCGCCCTTGATGGCAAAGGCACATTTCTCCGGGTTTAACCACATCTTGCCCCCTGCATGATGCTGAACACCCTCTCCATGTCCTGTATGTGATCCTCGTTCTTCTTGCTTTTGATCATGACATCATCCACGTAGGCCTCCATGATTATTTAACACCCCGCCCCGTAGGGCCTGAGGTAGTTACCCCTACACGCCCTCCGGAGATTGCAATCACCCCCACTTAAGATTGCAACGTCCTCCTTACGCCCACAAGCCAATTCAATCTCAATCATATCCCAGAATCTTTCCCCTGTTAAGTGCCCACCCGATATCCAACGGATTAACACAGTGTCTCAGGGTTGCTCTGATACCACCTGTAACACCCCGCCCCCCGTATGGCCTGAGGTAGTTACTCTTTCACACCCTCCGGGCCTCTAGTACTGTCCTCACAAACCTCCACTAGCCTTTAACATGCATTTTGTCGTCACCCATGCACGCCCTGAGAAACTTTCCAGGGGGTCACCCATCCCAAGAGTACTCCCGTGCAAGCACGCTTAACTTTGGAGTTCATAGCTAATGAGCTCCCTTAAAAGGAGATGCGTCTTGTTGGTACGAGTACTACTATTAATCCGTTTAAATTAAATCTCAAGTATTACAGATTATGTTGAGCACCTCTTTGAACAATATCCCGATCATCCTCTGAAAGGTTGCCATGACATTCCTCAGGCCTAACGACATGACGATATAACAGCACACATCGTTCGATGTGACGAATGTCGTTTTCTTTGCGTCGTCATTGCATGAACACCTGATGGTAGCCTCAGAAGCCATCCATGAAGCTGAGGAGCTCGCAGCCAGCAGTTTCATCCACCAGCAGATCGATCCGTGGTACGAGATAGGATTCATAGAGCAGGCCTTGTACAGATCTGAATAGTCGATGCACATCCGCCATGTAGGACCCTTTGGCGCCAACACAAAGTTAGACAACCATTCTACACGGATGACCGGCCAAATATGGCGGATGCCGAGCAGCGTGGTGACCCCCACTTTGATGAAATTCCTCCGTTGGGCCGCCATGTACCTCTTATTTTGTTGTACTGGTTTTGCATCAGGCCGAATGGCCAATCTGTGACAGATGATCTCAGGGTTTATCCCGGGCATGTCTTCTGGGCCCCGAGCGAATAGGACCTTGTACTTTTGGAGGATGGGATGTAATACCCGAGATTAATTTAAGAGGATTAATAGTACTACTCACACCAACAGAGGTGCATCTCCTTTTAAGGGAGCTCATCACCCAAGAACTCTAAAGTTAAGTGTGCTTTCACGGGAGTAGTCTTGGGATGGGTGACCCCCTGGGAAGTTTCTCAGGGCGCGCACGGGTGAGGACAAAGTGCGCGGTAAAGGCTAGTGGCGATTTGTGGGCACAATACTAGAGGTCAGAAGTAACTACCTCGGGGCCTGCGGGGCCGGGGTGTTACAGGTGGTATCAGAGCAACCCTGCGACAGTGTGCTGACCCATTAGATATCGGGCGGGCACTTAGCGGAGCAAGATTTTGGGGTTTGATTGAGATTGTTAAGGGCGCAACGAGGACATTGCGATCCTAAGTGGGGGTGATTGTAATACCCGTGATTAATTTAAGAGGATTAATAATACTACTCATACCAACAGAGGTACATCTCCTTTTAAGGGAACTCATCACTCAAGAACTCCAAAGTTAAGTGTGCTTGCACGAGAGTAGTCTTGGAATGGGTGACCCCCTGGGAAGTTTCTCAGGGCGTGCACGAGTGAGGACAAAGTGCGCGGTAAAAGCTAGTGGCAGTTTGTGGGAACAGTACTAGAGGTCAGAAGTAACTACCCCGGGGCCTGCGGGGCCTGCGGGGCCGGGGTGTTACATGGGGATTACCCCCTCTCGAATCTCGGGTTCCAGGTCCGCACCAATTGATACCTTCCTATCTGAGGGGTCATCCAACTTGACCTCCTGAAGCAACGTCGCCGGCTCTAGGCGGGACAAAATATCTGCTCGTCGAGCGGTTTCTGCTATGCTGTTGACTCGCATGTCGCGGTCATTCACCTTCTTCATAGCCTCCTTGTAGTAGCCCCTAGCCGTATGAGGGTCCGTGCAGGCCACCCTTACCTCTGTCTCTGTGGGGAATTTGATGCAGGAATGCCGCACAGAGCAGATCGCTTCGAGGTCCTCCATGCCCGACCTGCCAAGGATAACATTGTGGGCACACTTCAGGCGGACAACCACGAATGTCATGTGGATCGTCGCTCGGTGCAGACCATCTCCGATATCAGCCAGCAAAGTGATGGTCCCCTCTGCATCAATACAGTCTCCGATGAAGCTTGCCAAAGGGGTTCGCAAGGGAGTCAGCTCGGTCTTGCTCAGGTGCATCATCTCGAACACATCCCAGTATAGGACGTTGATGCTGATCCCTGTATCAACAAGGACCTGCCGCATGATGGCGTCCTTGATGTCCATGTTAATGACCAGCTCGTCCCTGTGTGGCCTTGGGGAACTGGGAAGGTCGGCAGGCCCAAAGGTGATGGCCTCAGCCTTGTTCTTCTCTGCGGGGGTGCGAATACGAAGCCCACATAAAGAGTCGTTCAAACTTCTTACGCTCGGCCGGTGTGTCTCCAATCTCTACTCTCCCAAAGATCACTTTGATCTCCATCCTCTTCTTGGCCCCACCTTGCCCGAGGGAGCTTTCGAGGAGTTTATCCGCACTGCGGTAATCCACGTCCTTGGGTTCGGCCTCCCGCCGATCGTCCCAGCGCCATGTGTTGGGCTTCTTGTATGGTTGCATCTGGGGCGGTGGCTTCGCCCCCACGACATACTCCCCGAGGTGCCCTCTCTGGATGAGTTCATTAATCGCCTTTTTGAGGCTACTGTAGCTATCCGTATTTTGGCTCTTCTTGCGGTGGTACGTGAGTCCTTTTGTTGTTTGCCAGCCGCTCGGAGAGCTCGTGAATGTGTCCAGAATTGTTCCGTGCCATCTTGCTTGCTTGTAGGGTTCGTAAAGAGCAGTTTTTTGGTGAGAGCCTTTTTTTGGAAAGACTTTTGATCAGTTTCCCACGCGGCGCCAGTGTTGAGATTTATTCCTTCGACCCGAGGGGCGCAACACGTTTCCCATGAGTTTCAAGTGGTGAGTTTAGTGGTATAAGATGTAAACAAGCAAAGATAGATACTTATCAATTTATACTTGATTTTTTTTACTCATATTCAAAAAATAAAAAACGGGCGTCATTCGCGCACCTTCTTAATGACTAGGCGCACCTATTTTTATCCACTGTTGGACTGATTTGTCCTTTGCAGACTAGCTCACGTGAAGCGCACCTCCTGTCACGAATTCATGAAGAGCACCTCCTGCAGTCATATTAAACTTGTCATGTTTCCTAATTGAATCCTAACTCCTAAAGCTTTACTCCGTATCAATTAAAAAAAGTAATATACTCATACACCTTTTATTTAACTTTTTTCTAAAAAATAATCACCTTTAATATACTCACAATTCTAATAGATAACAAATTTCAAAGTACCATCAAATATATAAATATTTGTAACGTAGTATAATAATGCTCTCATAGATAACAAATTTCAACATAACTACCACCATAATATTATCTTCTTATACAATGGAGGATGAATGGTAATTATTTTGTAATGTTATAAGAGACCCCGTTACAATTGTATTGGATGATTGATTTAAACTTTATATATTATAAAATTAAAAACATAAATGTTTTATTTTTAACTTTACGCAATTCTATACTTCATATTATATTTTTTTGGAAGTTCTATATTAGATTATAAAATTGAATAAGTAACATTGTTAACTCTAGTAAACTAATTATCTTCATTTTTTATTTGCTTGACTAATTTCAAACGTGGAGGCCCCACCTTTTAAAACTCCATCAGCACCATGTTGATTCCACATTAAGGTCGCATATGTTACATGACTAGATTTATGGTGTGAATAGTATTTAGGATGTTTTTAATTGAACTGATTTCGAACCAGATAGATTCAAACAAATAGAATCAGATCTGAACTTTCACGAAATTTGATCAGTTTTTTTTTTTAAATTACATACTCCCTTTGTCCCCCTGTTACTGTCCCATTGCGGTTTACGATGTTTGACCGACGATAAAGCAAACAGATCCCTGTCCGCACTCAAACTATTTTTAGGGAAAAAATTACATATTCAGAAAATACATTAAAAGATTTACAAAGTCGCAAAAACCAGAATCAAATTTGATAAAAATTTGATACATAAAGTAAGAGATTAAGAGTGATTTGTGTTGATCAAGTGAATAGGAAATGAGACAATAATAGGGGGACGGAGGGAATATATAATATTGATGTCATATGAAAGATCATAAAAAGATATTTATTTTGGTATAATTTTTATAAAAATAGGAGCAAAAATGAAAAAGTTATGACATTTTATAAAAAAAGAATTACTTGCCATATGACACCATTTAATTGAATGTATATTTAATGCAAAATTCATATGAATAAGGGAGAAGGAGAATTGAGCCCAGCGTGTGGAGCTGAGGAGAGCACGCAAAGCAATTCCAATTAACTTTTTAATTTTACTTAATTTTAATTAATATTTAAGAAGGCCAAATTTGTCCAACCAGGATTACATTAAGCAATTTTGGGGGTGCACAAAGCAACCCCACTAAAAAAACATGTTTGGGTTTGATAATTGGAATTGGAATTACAATGTCAAATTAAGCAACCACGTCGGTCATCCGGTCACACGCTCACACCCTCCCTCGAAATTCTGGTTAAACCCGACCCAACCACCAAATCACCACCGGAGCTCGTCGGCCCGATATCATCCAAAGATTCTTGCTTTTCGGACTCAGCTGTGCTGCTCGTCGCCGGTGGAATTCTTTCCGCCTACTCCCGCCGGCGGAGAAAGCAATAACTTTTTTTCCCTGTTTCCATTGACAAAAACCGGTCTTGTTGGCACGTATATGCACGGAGAAGCTTTCAATTATCCTCTTGAAACTTTTATGGTTCGCCTAATCTAAACGTCCGAACTCCATTCTGATGCTAGACACACTTGGGTTATGAAGCTTGTCCTAGCTCTAGTATTTCCCAATGAATGCCCCAATTATAGGTAATAGAACAAGGATTTCGTTTCGCAGATACGTTTATGCTCAACTTCTGTTCTTTACTCCCGTTCTTTAATTTGGTTATATTTGTGGGGTTGTTCTATTAAATCATTAGCCTTATGTTAATTTTTTCGTTGTTTGAAGATCCACTGCAGGGGGATTTTCCAGAGGTGATAGAAGAGTATTTGGAGCATGGGGTTATGAAATGCATTGCATTTAACCGGAGGGGGACACTTCTTGCTGGTATAGTTCATAAGAAAGATTAATGTTTTTTTTGTTTCGTTGTAGTAAAGTACTTTGTATCATATTGAACAAGTGTCAGATACAGGCTGTTTCTTAATTTCTTATCTTTACTCTTTATTTTTTAGGAGTAGAGCCAGATAGGCATGTACTACCTCCTTTCCTAAATAAAAGTCAATTTTGACTGAACATGAAGGTTAAGTGAATGAAAACTGTGTGGGTGAGAGTATGAAAGTTAGTATGAAAAGAGAAATATGATGCAATAGTGATCTTGTTGGGGAAAATAAAAAGAAAAGTGTAAAGATTGTCTAGGGGTGGGGAAAATTTTGGATTTTAATGAACAAATTTAGGATATAAAATGAAAGCTTGACTCAATTATGTAAATTTTCATTGCTCCATCTTTTTACTGCATTGCTTATATGGTAGCCTCATTTTCTTTGTACCACAAAGTATTATTTTTCCTATTCCCTCGTTTTCACACGTTTATCGTGTCATGACGTGGGACTTCTGCTTTGTTTAAAATTTGAGCAATTCTACCGATATAATGACAAAGAAAAGGATAAAAGCGCTTAAGAATAGGAGAAAATACCACTGAACTAAACTGAAATACTTCGACGAGTGTAATACTTTTCTGTTTATTATGCTATATATGCTGTTAATCTACCTGATGTAATTCTAAGTTCTATTTCTATTGAATTAAAAAAAATCCACGTTATATAGTCCATATATAACGTCCTTGTGCTATATATGCTGTTAATCTACCTGCTGTAATTCTAAGTTCTATTTCTATTGAATTAAAAAAAAATCCACGTTATGTAGTCCATATATAACGTCCTTGTGCTATATATGCTGTTAATCTACCTGATGTAATTCTAAGTTCTATTGCTATTGAATTAAAAAAAATCCACGTTATGTAGTCCATATATAACGTCCTTGTGCTATATATGCTGTTAATCTACCTGATGTAATTCTAAGATCTATTTCTATTGAATAAAAAAAAATCCACGTTATGTAGTCCATAAATAACATCCTTGTGAGTGTTTTGCTTTAATTGTATGTGATGCAAGGCTCTTGTGCCCTTTTCAGCTGGATGCTCTGACGGAAGCTGCATTATCTGGGATTTTGAGACCCGAGGAATCTCAAAAGAATTGAGGGATAAAGACTGTCTTGCTGCCATCACTAGTGTATGTTGGTCTAAGTATGGCCACCGCATACTTGTATCAGCCGCTGATAAATCATTAACACTCTGGGATGTTGTCAAAGGAGAGAAGATTATGCGCATAACCCTTCAACAAACCCCATTGCATGCTCGTTTACATCCCGGTTCCTCATTTCCAACTTCTTGCTTGGTGTGCCCTTTATCATCAGCTCCAATGATTGTTGACTTGAACACTGGAAGCACAAATGTACTTCCCGTTTCAACTCCTGATGCAGGAGGGAGTGGACTGGCACCACCTTCACGCAATAAATTTTCAGACGGATCTGCTCCTTTCACTCCTACAGCAGCTTGCTTTAACAAGTATGGAGATCTGGTTTATGTTGGAAATTCAAAAGGGGAAGTACTCATAATTGACCATAAAACCGTCCAAGTGCTTGGCATCATTTCCACTCAAGGAGGTGCTGTGGTGAAGAATATTGTATTCAGCAGGAATGGGCAGTTTCTTTTGACAAACTCTAATGATCGTACACTCAGGATTTATGAAAATCTTCTTCCATTAAAAGATGGATTGAAAAGCGTGTATGATGCAAGTAATAACTTGAATGAGTTAGAAGGGGTAGATAAACTTAAAGCTGTAGGGTCTAAGTTTTTAACTCTATTTAGAGAGTTTCAAGATTCCATCACCAGAGTGCACTGGAAGGCACCATGTTTTAGTGGTGATGGTGAGTGGTTGGTTGGTGGTTCTGCTAGCAAAGGAGAGCACAAGATCTACATCTGGGATAGGGTTGGACATCTTGTTAAAATACTTGAAGGGCCAAAGGAAGCCTTGATAGATTTAGCGTGGCATCCTGTCCACCCTGTTGTTGTTTCTGTTTCATTGACGGGATTGGCCTATATTTGGGCTAAGGATTACACTGAGAATTGGAGTGCATTTGCTCCAGATTTCAAAGAACTCGAGGAGAATGAAGAGTATGTAGAAAGGGAAGATGAATTTGATCTCGTGCCTGAAACAGAGAAGGTAACTTATGGAGCAGTAATCTTCTTGTTTTTTTGAATTATCATGTTTCTAACTTCTTATTGCTCCAGGCTAAAGAACCCGATGTCAATGAAGATGAAGAAGTTGACATTGTGACAGTGGAGAGAGATACAACATTCAGTGATTCCGATATATCGCAGGATGAAGTTCTCTTCTTGCCAGTCGATCCAACACCTGATCATTTTGAGCAGCAGGACAAGTGTGTCAGTAGTACTTCAAAGCTAGCGGATAGCAACCAGTCAGGATCCCCTCACTCCGAAAAGGCTGAGCGGAACGGGCAGACTGCTAACCATGAAGTCAGTCCATCTGAAGGTAATACTTGCTTCCATTATTGATATTAGTAATTTTAGCTGTTATTAATTCCGTAACACGCTGATCAATGCAGCCAGTTTTCTAATAATGTTCTGAAGATCTTTTGTTTCACTTTTGAATTCAATGTCAAAGATCTTTTTTATATATCAAAAAGTTGTAAAGTTACACATCACCAAGCACTATTATGCTGGAAAAAGGTTATCTCTTTTGAACTTTGATTCAAAATCATCTCTCTGAAAATGGTAAAACTGAAAATTCTAATGGTTCATATGCATACACTGAGTTTCTTATTTTGATGTTCAGGTTTTCAACTTGAGATTTATTATCTGTTCGATAATTGCCTACTTTTTTCTTGTCCCGATCTGCTACTCTACCTTTCTTTGAGTGATAGATTTGAGATGGGTGCTAAAAATCCTAAAAGGAACATAATGTGCGTATTTGATAGCCTTTGTTTTCGTTTTCTCTCAATGGCGGAGACCATTTACCCATCAAATTCTTGTGCAGACTGTTAAAAGCTCTTTCATTTTCTTTTGTTATTATTTTTTGTAATGTGTAACTGAATCCTACTTCTCTTAGGTACTTAAATGATACGGAGTATTTGGAAATGTTGGTTTAAGCATGATGTGGATTGCATTATTATGACTCGGGTTAAAGTTGGACCTTTTGAATTTCGGCCACACCACAGATTCATGACTTCCGTTATCAAACATTTAAGTCCAATTGATATTGGTCCCTTAAGATGGTATTTCTATCAGTACAACACATGGTCTTTAAAAATAATGTGCAGAATGCAATTGTCTTCAAAATGGATGGCATTAATCCTTCTATAAGGCCTTGTCATAACATCAGAGAAACAGTCAGCTAAGTCAAATTTTTAATTTTGGTGGGTTTGTGTAAGGCCTTGTCATAAGGCCTTGTTATTTTTATCTTCTAGCTTTTTTATGCTCTTTTATTTATTTTTCTTTTATCTTGGTTATATTCTTGTGTTATTGTTATCTTATATTTATGTATCTTTATTTTATTCATTTTATCTTACTTTTTTTTTCCTTTTCTTGTCCGCCTTCTCTTTTTGGCATCGATATCATAGATCGATTTCATGTTAGCCGACCCCAAATTCTTTTGGGATTAAGGCTTGGATGTTGTTGTTGTTGTTGTTGTGGTGGTGGGTTTGTGTAAGTCCAACTTTTTGAATGATGTTGTAGTCCCTCAACTGTTGAAGATTGGAAACTAATGGTCCTCCATTTAAGCTTCTATACAAATAAAAAGGACTAACTTTTTGTATTTATAGAACTTGAAAGACCATTCCTATCCTTTTTTCTTAAGTCGATTGATTTACTCCATAGTGATTGTGCCTTATTCGGTACTGCATTTGCCTCACAATAATCGGTGCTTTAGCCAAAAAAAATTTCCAAAAATGTTGTTATTTTAGAAATTCAATACACAATTTTCACCACCTATTGATAGAGAGCAGGGGGCTATGTGGAAGAGGAGGGTCCGAGACCCAAGGGGCTGACGGTTTACTGCAGGCAGGAACGGGCTTGAGCCCACCTTCGTGGGCTGTTGCGGGCTGCTTAATTAATATTTATTTTTTTTAATTTTCGTGATTTGTTTCCTATTTGGAGTTAATTAGGATTTCTATTATTTGTTTCCTATTAGGAGTTAATTAGGATTTCTATTATTTGTTTCCTGTTTGAAGTTGATTAGGGTCTCTATTATTTTGTTTCCTAGTTGGAGTTGATTAGGATTTCTAGGATTTTGTTTCCTAGTTTGAGAATTAGTAGATGGGTATTTAAACCCCTTGTTAGGATTCATTCGGGCTCATCTTGGAATAAAGTTGGATTTTAGCCTGTTGGCTGTGGGCAACGGTATTTTTATCGTTGATTATCTGGGCAACGCTTTACCCCGTTGATTTTATTTTTCTGCTTCACAACAATTGGTCCGACCTGCCGGATCCTGTTCCCGCCGGAATGAAAAAATCGTACATGGAGCTTTTGACAGTGGTGGAGGCCAAACTAGCCTTGTTAAACCAGAAACTGGATGCGCGAGGAGTTCAACTGGCAGAGATCACAGCTTCCTTGGCTGCGCTCACTGCGCTCATGAAGACTTTTATGCCGCCGACGGCAGAAGGGCACTCATCGACAGCCGCGTCACCGGATTCTACGTCAGCATCTGCGTGCAAACTTAAGGAGATTGCTGAGCAGGACAAAGATGCAGCACCAGGAAGTTGTGGGTCGGGAAGGCTTGCTTCTTGCTTTCTTGATTCCATGGCAACCCTAGATTCGCCAGCATGGGGTTATGGACTGAGGTACAAGTATGGACTACACAAGCAACATATTACAGAAGCTGGACAAGAGGAAGTTACTGAAGGTTGGCTTGAGAAATTCATTCTCTGGGAAGTTGCAAGGTATGACATTGTGTTTCGAGTCAGATTTTTTTCTGATGATCATGTTGAACCCAATGGCTCCCGGAAAGGGATTGGTGGGGAGTTCATACAGGCGGTTGCATATGATTTTCCAATTCCTGGCTATAAAACAAAGAACACAAATAGTCTTAGACTTTGGCAGGCCAAAGCTAGTGCAGAGGACATAAACTTATTTCAAGTTAACGGTGGTCAATATGAATCTGCTACACACTTTCACTCTAGTGCTCACCATATTTGTGCTGTCTTTGATCCCGGTGATGCAACAGAAAGTGGAAAACTTTTAAGACTTAAACAACAATTTTTGCTAAGTGGTGCGTCACTTCAGGATACCATATACATATTTAAGGAGAGGAATGATGGGAAGCGTACACTTGATTGGTCTTCATTCCCCTCAAAAGTTGTACTGTTAGATGCCAGTGGGAATAGCAATATGAATTTTGCACTGAATGGGTGCCTAATCATAGGAACACTGGACGGGGCTAAAATGGAAATCAGAGAGGAAATTGGGGAAGATAATTTTTTCCTTTTTGGTGTAAGAGCTGAAGAAGTGCCTCTTCTACGCAAAGAAAGAGAAAACAGTCAATTTAAATCAGATACTAGGATTAAAGATAGCTGTGTGAGGCAGTTTTCAAATTCCAACCTTGAGGACAAGGTTATTTTGAAGGAGGATGGATTGATAGAGAGCAGGGAGAGCAGGGGGCTGTGTGGAAGAGGAGGGTCCGAGACCCAAGGGGCTGACGGTTTACTGCAGGCGGGAACGGGCTTGAGCCCACCTTCGTGGGCTGGTTGCGGGCTGCTTAATTAATACTCCGTATTTATTATTTTTAATTTTCCTGATTTGTTTCCTATTTGGAGTTAATTAGGATTTCTATTATTTGTTTCCTATTAGGAGTTAATTAGGATTTCTATTATTTGTTTCCTATTTGAAGTTGATTAGGATCTCTATTATTTTGTTTCCTAGTTGGAGTTGATTAGGATTTCTAGGATTTTGTTTCCTAGTTTGAGAATTAGTAGATGGGTATTTAAACCCCTTGTTAGGATTCATTCGGGCTCATCTTGGAATAAAGTTGGATTTTAGCCTGTTGGCTGTGGGCAACGGTATTTTTATCGTTGATTATCTGGGCAACGCTTTACCCCGTTGATTTTATTTTTCTGCTTCACAACACTTATCCAAACCTAGCTTAAGTTCCCGTACTTTAAATGTTTTTTTGCATCTGTATTTAAGTATTGAAAATAAAATATGCATTCAATACAACAACATTCAAGCCTTAGTCCCAAAAGAGTTTGGGTTCGGCTAACATAAATGCTAGACTTAAATAAATACAGTTGAGTCATTTGATAAGGATCTTTGGTATGTGTGCATTTTTGTAAAACTACAACTATTTTGAAACAGAGGTGGGATTATATTTTGTCAGACTCACATGGACCCTTATTTCTAACCATGTGGCTGCTCTGACTTTATAATCTGTGAATCTATGATTATATCTGTTCTAAGTTGGATTGCTGCTATGTTCTAAGATGGCATCTGTTTTCATTTCTCAAGCAAGCTTCACCTGTATTTTTTTCATGCAGCAATGGATAATTCTACTGCAGAAGAAACTAGTGCAAAAGGGTTGAGAAGAAAACGGAAGCCTTCTGAGAAGGTATTGGAGTTGCAAGCTGAAAAGGTTAAAAAACCTTCTCAGAAGAAATCATCTGGTAAACGTCAAAACTAGAAGTAAAGAATAGTTCAAGAGGGAATTAGTTTTCGAAACTTTTGTGGCGGAATCCATAAATCCATTGAGTATTTTTCTATTGTATCATTACCTGATCACTCCTATGACAATTCCTAATTCCCCAATCTGTTTAGAGGTAGATTATGAAATTATGTCCAGGCATTATCACCTTTTTGTCAACACCTAGTGTCTGCTATTTTATATTATTTTTTTGAAAATGAATTTCTCGATCAGTATAACTGATACTGGTATTATTTATCTGCTGGCAAGCAATCTGCAAACATTGGGCAGACTGACGCGTCTTCGTTTTCTTCTGCCACTCTTTTTGAGTTCATATTATTGGCTGTATAACTGATAATTCATTGTATATCCTCAAAAATAGACATTTCTTTCTTATTGAATGCATTAGATGCTCAGCCCGAATGTGTAAAGCAGTCATTGGACATTTCAAGTAAAATGTTTTACGATGTATGCTGTTCACCGGACAGGTTATAGTTTTTTTGAAATCTAAACTACACACATACAGCCTTTAATTTACGTCTCAATTCTTAAGCGTCCTGTTTCATTTTCTTCTTCTTAATATTTTAATCCCATTAGTATGTTGAACTTTGCAGGTGCATCCATCTTTACTTACTAAACATAAAAAAAGCTTTTTCATGAAAAATATATCCCCTTTTTCATCTTTATGTGAAGAGAACATGGAGTGAGAAAAAATGTTAATGTTCCAATTTCCAAACAAGGCGTTTGTGATCATGGTATGATGGTAATGGAATCTTGACACACAATGTGCTTATGATACTTTTTTTAATCCTAGACTCTCAAGAATCCATCTCAAACCCTTGAGATAAGTAACAATTCCAGATTATTAAGCTAACAAAATAATCAAGAAAGCTGAGCTTTATTCCACATTCAACACCAAGATTGCATGTACACAAAATGATCAAGAAACCAGAGCTCTCCAAGTCTATTTTCTAACTGTCAAACTGGCCTACCTCTTGTTACTCACACCCTTCTATTTATACTATTCTATTATTCTTCTTATTTATTATTATTATTATTATTCTTCTTATTTATTATTATTATTATATTATTATTATTATTATTATTATTATTGTTGTTGTTGTTGTTGTTGTTGTTGTTGTCGTCGTCGTCGTTGTTGCTGTTGTTGTTGTCGTTGTTGTTGTTTTCGTTGTTGTCGTTGTTGTCGTTGTTGTCGTTGTCGTTGTCGTCGATGTTGTTGTCGTCGTTGTTGTTGTCGTTGTTGTTGTCGTTGTCGTTGTGGTTGTCGTTGTCGTTGTTGTTGTCGTTGTTGTTGTTGTCGTTGTCGTTGTTGGTGTTGTTGTTTGTCGTTGTTGTCGTTGTTGGTGTTGTCGTCGTCGTCGTCGTCGTTGTTGTTGTTGTTGTTGTCGTTGTTGTTGTTGTCGTCGTCGTTGTTGTCGTCGTTGTTGTTGTTGTTGTTGTTGTTGTCGTTGTTGTTGCTGTTGTCGTTGTCGTTGTTGGTGTTGTTGTTGTTGTCGTTGTCGTTGTCGTTGTTGGTGTCGTTGTCGTTGTGGGTGTCGTTGTTGGTGTGGGTGTTGTTGTCGTTGTCGTTGTCGTTGTCGTTGTCGTTGTCGTTGTCATTGTCGTCGTTGGTGTCGTCGTTGGTGTTGTTGTTGTTGTCGTCGTCGTGGTCGTGGTCGTGGTCGTGGTCGTGGTCGTGGTCGTTGTCGTTGTCGTTGTCGTTGTCATTGTCATTATCATTATCATTATCATTCTTACTATTATTACTATTATTACTACTATTACTACTATTACTACTATTACTACTATTACTATTATTATTATTATTACTATTATTATTACTATCATGAGAAAGTCTCACATGAATATTCTATCATAGCGGGTATTCAAGAATCGGTCCATGAAATCTTAATGAATTTGAAAGAAATTGTATGAATAAGTAATCTATATGATTATGATTATCATTATCATCACCATCACCATCACCATCACCATCACCATCACCATCACCATCACCATCACCATCACCATCACCATCACCATCACCATCACCATCACCATCACCATTATTATTACTATTATTATTATTATTATTATTATTATTATTATTATTATTATTATTATTATTATTATTATTATTATTATTATTATTATTATTATTATTATTATTATTATTATTATTATTATTATTTATCTACCCGGGTCCTTATCACTTGGACAATCCGCTATGCTCCCAACTATTATTTATATATCATCGTGCACGAGAAATCGTTCTTAACTTAATTGACCTCGCTTGTCCTCATGTTACTAGTACAGATCCTGGGAAAACCGCTTTTGATTGGTCAAACACTGTCAGATTCCCAACAAGAAGCTAAATCCCACTCTGTCGCTTGAGGTGAGAGACATATCACTAATTGTGCGATTACTCAAGCTAGCCCATGGGGGCAAAAGGATCATCATTTGAGAAAAGCCTCCTAAATTCACTTCCTTGGTGACTTGAACTCAAGTTCTCCCACACGAGGATGATCTTAAGTGGGTGGTGTGATCCATTTGGACCACTTCCACTTGTCATGTGCTTATGATACTATTATTTAGTACTTTGGTGTATCAAGTACATCTACCCCATTGAAGCAAGTACAAAAGTCTATACTGAAGGAAGTGAGTCTCTGGAATTAATCTAAGTATCTGTCACATGCTACAATGGTGAGTTTAGCTTACACGATCACTTAGCCTTGAACGTTGTGTTCTCCATAAGACATTTCCAAAAAATATACTATCTTATATTTTAATAATTCTAACTCCGTTATGAGATCATTTTTTGGTATCATGCCTGTCCCAAGCCAGGATAAAGGAGGAGAGTGTTGTGGTAGGCACGTGACGGCCAACAATATCACTCAGTCACATCACATAACATGAATCGAAATATGAATATCGCTACAACTAGGTCGTCACCCGTAAGCAACGCGTCATCCCACCGCCCGGGGGTGGTGTCAAATGTGCAAGGGTGTGCTACACTTCATAGGCATGAGTGCAGTGATAAGAATGCTAAGGCTGCTAGGTCGCGCCCGAAAGCGACGTGCCACTCCAATGCCCGGGGATGGTGTCAAATATGCAAGGGCATGGTGGGGGTCGATGTGGTGTGCAGAAGATAAGGCAGGGTGCTAGATTGCATTTTGGGACATGGAATGTTGGTTCTCTTACGGGAAGATCATCTGAGATAGACGAGGTTATGAAGAGGAGGAATATCAGCATAATGTGCATGCAAGAAACTAAGTGGGTTGGAGAAAAGGCATGTGAGATTAATCATGGAGGTTTTAAGCTGTGGTATTCGGGGAGAGAGAGGAACGGAAATGGAGTAGGCATTATGGTGGCGCATGATTATGTTGAGGGTGTGGTTGAAGTCTTTAGGAAGAACGACCACATCACGAGCATTAAGTTGATAATAAGAGATGAGATCGTGTCTGTGGTAAGTGCCTATGCACCACAAGTAGGTTTGGTAATAGAGTTTAGAGGAAGAGAGAATTGCAGCACTCAATTGCATACTTTTTTCTGAGACATATGATGGTATTTATACAATCATTGGGAGCCTAAATAATTATTATGATACTAAGTACAAAGATATGTAACGGTTAAAACTGAAATTATAATAACTGAAAATATTATAAATTAATATTTTCTCGATTCTTCTACACGCCCCCGCAAGCCAGGTATTCTATCACTCCCAAGAATCCTGAGCTTGTCTCTAAGTAGAGTAAAACGCTGCCTGGAGAGTGGTTTGGTAAGAGAATCGGCTAACTGATCATGAGAGGAGATGTGAAGAACTCGAAGAAGCCCACGTTGCACGCGTTGTCGTACAAAATGAAAATCGATGGCAACATGTTTCATCCTGGAATAGAAAACCGGATTTGCTGAAGAAGTTGTAGCGCCTTTGTTATCACAAAGTAGTAGCGGGGAAGAGGGAGGCGGATGTCGGAGTTCATGAAGAAGAGACTCAATCCAAAGAATTTCTGATGCAACAGTAGAGAGAGCCCGATACTCCGCTTCTGTAGATGATTTAGCAATGGTTCGTTGTTTAATGGACTTCTAGGAAATAAGTGATTCACCAAGAAAAATGGCATATGCGCTAGTTGAGGAGCGATCATCAGGATTCCCTGCCCAGTCTGCATCGGCATAAGCACGTAGAGAAAGAGATGAACTGCGGCGGAGATAGAGACCATAAGAACTAGTGCCTTGAAGGTACCGTAATAGGCGTTTGATATGCTGCCAATGAGTAACCGTCAGTTTGTGCATAAATTGAGCAAGTTTGTTGACAGCGAAGGCAACATCTGGTCTTGTGAGACTCAAATATTGAAGTGATCCAATGACATGACGATAGAGAGTCACATTGCAAGACCCCGAACTATCAAACAGGGATAAGGATGCCGAGGGAGCCAAGGGTGTGGATACAGGTTTTGCCTCATCCATTTTCAACATACGTAATAAATCGATAATGTACTCGTGTTGGTCAAGAAAGAGCCCATCCTGCGTCGGAGTGACTTGCATGCCTAGAAAAGAATGCAAGAATCCCAAATCCTTAATAGAGAATTTTTGCGCTAAGGAATCAATAGTCCGATGAACCAAAGCAGGAGTGGAACCAGTAACAATAATATCACCCACATACACCAACACATAGATATAAGATTGATGTGAAGAGAGTATGAAGAGACTCGCATCCGACACAGATTGATGAAATCCAAGGGAAAGAAGAAACCCACTTAAAGATTGATACCACACCCGGGGTGCTTGCTTGAGACCATAAATAGATTTACGAAGACGACAAACAGACCCAGAACCATCATTGAAACCAGGAGGTTGTTTCATGTATACTTCCTCGTGAAGAGTCCCATGCAAAAAGGCATTATTAACATCAAGCTGATTGATCTGCCAACCATGAGAAAGAGCAATAGTCAGGACAACTCGAATGGTGACCGGTTTGATTACTGGGCTGAAAGTTTCAGAATAATCAACTCCTGGGCGCTGATGAAAGCCCTTAGCAACCAACCGAGCTTTGAAACGATCCAAGGAACCATCCGGCTTGTACTTCACAGTATAAACCCATTTGCAACCAACAACATTTTGACCAGGACAAGATGGAACAAGATCCCAAGTTCCCTGTTTAACCAGGGCTTCAAATTCTGCTGACATAACATCCTTCCATTCTGAAACCTGTAAAGCCTGAGAAGCACAAGTAGGAATAATATGATGAGGTAAGGCGGAATGAGTGACGAGATTAGCCTGTTTACCAGGATGAAGGGTAATGGGATGAGTATGTTTGGGAGGTGTATTGGTTGGGGCGATAGTGAGTGGTTCATTGAGTGAAGTTTGAGGAAATAGTGGAGTAGATGGTTTTTGCTTAGACCAACGTTAATAGGTGATGACAACGGGTGGATTTTGTGGAGGTGGGGGTGTAGGGGGCGACGTATTAGAGGTAGAGTTTGAACTACCGGGAGTGCTTTGCTGAGTCGGAGTATGAGAAATAGGAGACGCCTTTGCCGCTGGTGTACCTGAAAGAGGAAGATAAGAAATAGGCGGTTGAAGCGAGTTATCAATCTCCGAGGAGAGATTAGTAACAGGTGTTGCAGTCTGAGAGAAGGAAAAAACAGACTCATTGAATACGACATGCCTGCTAATAAAAATACGATGGGTAGCTGGGTCAAGACATCGATATGCACTCTGCTGATCACAATATCCTAGAAAAATACATGGTTTGGATCGAGGTTCTAATTTGTGGGTTGTGTAAGGACGCAACCACGGAAAGCATTGACACCCAAAAATAGCAAGTTTTGTGTAATGAGGTGGTTTTTGAAAAAGCTTTTCAAATGGAGTGCAAAAATTGAGAGATGTTGCAGGTTGTCTATTAATGAGATACACTGCAGTTTGAAAAGCATAAGACCAATATTTAAATGGCATGGAGGCATGATGAAGTAAAGTGATCCCTATTTCAACAATATGACGATGTCGTCGTTCAGCGAAACCATTATGTTCCGGAGTATAGGGAGGGGTTAATAAATGGGAAATACCATAGGAACTCAGGAATTTCCCTAGGGTGACATACTCACCTCCCCCATCAGAGTAAAGCATTTTAATATTTTTTTGAAAAAAGTTTTCTGCAATTTTCTTAAATTGTTGAAAAATAGAGGTTACTTTAGACTTATGTTTGATGAGATAAAACCAAATGTATTTGGTATAGTGATCAACAAAAATAACATAGTAACGAAAACCATCTACAGAAGTAATGCGAGAAGGACCCCAAACATCTGTAAAAATTAAGTCAAGAGGGCCAGAACTTGAAAGTGAAGATTTAGCAAAAGGTAACTTGTGACTTTTATTACTTGCACATGAAGTGCATAAAGAGATATCCTAAGTAACATTCTTAAATGAAACACCAAGTGAAGAAATAACTTTTTGAGTTATAGGAAGAGCGGGGTGACCTAAACGACAATGCCAATTATTAAGAGAATATTTTGTAGTAACATTAGCACATGGAGATGAAGGAATCAATACATCCGGCAGGCTGTAAACATCCCCATTATTCATACCCCATAACAAAATTGCTCCCGTTCGCCGGTCCTTACAAAACAGAAAGAGGGGTGAAATTCAATTAGCACATCATTATCATGACATAATTTGGCAACAGAAATTAAATTAGTATGAATTGAAGGAACAAAAAAGGTATTAGGTAAGGAAAGAGAATGAATATTCATATTTCCAACTTGTGCAATCGCAAGACCTTTACCGTTACCAATAACGAGGGAGTCTGTGCCAGTATAATCTGAAGCCAAGGTGAGGTTATTGAGATTATTGGTGACATGATTCGAGGCTCCAGATTCAAGCAACCACCCATTTCTATTGGTCACCACAGTATTGGCTTGAAGAGGGTAATTTTGTTGTTCAAATCGGTGCCAATAGTTAAGAGCGAGATGATTCGGTTTGCCACAAATTTGACATATAATTGTACGTCTAGAATTATTATTGCTCCTGAAATTGTTTCTGCCTCCCAAATTATTACCTCCGGGATTATTATTCCCACGTCGGTTTTGGTTGTGGAAATTATTGGGTCCCTGGTTTCGATTATGGCTCCTGGCATTGGGCACATTAAGTTGTGTTGCTGGTCCTGGGCCCAATATAGAAGGGTTGTGAAAATTATTTTGGGCCTGATTACCTCTTGGACCATTGGCATTCCTTCGAACGGCTAAAGCAATAGACTCTCCCGTCTCCGCGATAGCTGCATTAGCGGTCAGCACGGGATTGGAGTTCAGCGTCTCCTTCCGTCGAAGCTTGTCTTCGTATCCTACGAGCAGCGTATGGATGGTTCCAAATCGAGTGTCGCCTGAGGTCTGGATGGAGTTCGCGATTGCTTCGAACTCTGGCCGGAGTCCTTCCAAAGCTTGAATGAGGAAATCATCATCGTCGACCGGTCGTCCTGCCAGCGCCAGTTCGTCAGCTAGGGTCCGAAGTTTGTGAAGGTACTCCCCCACTGGTTGATCTCCCTGCCGCATGTGTCGGAACTGGTCTTTGAGGTTTGGAATTGCAGAAGGTGACCGAGTCCCATAGAGCCCCTCAAGTGTCTTCCATACATCAACAGAAGTGCGTGCAGAGCCAATTAATGGTTTGCAAGCGGAGCTAAGGGAGGAGACTAGGGCGTGGCGAAGGAGTCTGTCCTGTCAGTTCCATCTGAGACGGCCGATTGCATCGCTTTCTGGTGGCAGTGTAGTCTCCTCGATATACTGGCTCAAGTCTGACCCAAACAGAAGGTCAAGAACCTGGTCACGCCAAACCAGGTAATTAGAACCGTCTAATTTTTATGGGAATTGACTCGGGTTAAGCATTATGAGTCCATCAAGGGTCAAGGGGTTGTTGGAAGGGGTAGCAAAGGTTTTAGCAAGGGGATTTTTGAGGTCTCCTTGTTCCTGGAGATTCTCTGTCTGTATTTTCTTCGTTAGCCATGGGTAGAGGGGCTGGTGAGAGCTCTTACGGCTTTGATACCATAATAGAGTTTAGAGGAAGAGAGAATTGCAGCACTCAATTGCATACTTTATTCTCAGACATATGATGGTATTTATACAATCATTGGGAGCCTAAATAATTATTATGATACTAAGTACAAAGATATGTAACGGTTAAAACTGAAATTATAATAACTGAAAATATTATAAATTAATATTTTCTGGATTCTTCTACATTTGGTACATCTATCACTCAACAATTAAGGGAGAATCTTTAGGAAGTGGTGTGACGAGTGCCAAATGAGAGAAGCTGGTCATAGGAGGCGACCTCAATGGGCATGTGGGCCCAAGTCGTGATGGTTTTGAAAGAATCCATGGTGGACATGGTTTTGACATTAGAAATGAAGCGGGAAAGAACATTCTGGATTTTGCCTCGACATATGAGTTGGTTGTGATGAACACTTGGTTTAAGAAAAAAGATACTCTCACCTTGTCACCTATAGAAGTGGAGCTAATAGTACCCAAATTGACTACCTTTTAGTACGGATGACTTGGAGATCTAGCTACACTGATTGTAAGGTTATCCCATGTGAGAATGCTCTCAATCAACATAGGATGCTTGTGCTTGATTTTAAGGTTAAAAAGAGGAGGCGGGTTAAGGTACAAGGGGAGTCAAAGATAAAGTGGTGGATGCTCGTAGGGAATCTCCAACAAAGTTTTGCACACAAAATGTTGGAGGAAGATGTATGGTCTATTGATAATGACGCACATGTGGATGATATGTGGTTATCAATGGAGTCCACCATTAACAAAGTCGCAAAGGAGATACTCAGAGAATCTAAAGGATGTCTGCCACAAAAAAAGGACACATCTTGGTGGAATGATGAGGTGAAATAAGCAATAAGGACCAAAAGAGAATGCTATAAGAAATTGGGAAAAAGTTGGAGAGACAAGAACATAGAGGAGTATAAGGAGGCTAGAAAGAGAGCAAAGAAAGTTGTGAAGGAAGCAAGAGGAAAAGTGAACAAGGAATTATATGTAAAATTGGACTCTAAGGAAGGAGAAAAGGATATTTACAGACTTGCTTGCCTTCGTGACCATAAGACTCAAAATATTGGAAAAGTTAAGTGTGTGAAGGATGTCGATCAAAGTGTACTAATGGAGGACGAAGAAATAAGAGAGGTGGAGGTCATACTTTGATACCTTGTTTAACGGGAATAAAATACAAGGTATTGATGAGCTTACTATACCAAAGTGTATGGTAAATCGGGACTTCGTGAGAAGGATTCAAACAACAGAAGTTAAAGAGGCTATAATAAAGATGGGACGGAAGAAAGCAATGGGACCAGATGGCATACCGATCGAGGCTTGGAGGAATTTGGGAGATAAAGGAATCGAGTTTCTAACACGTTTCTTCAACATGATTTGAAGAAACAACAAAATGCCAGTGAGTTGGCGGAAGAGTACTCTTATTCCCCTATTTAAAAATAAGGGTGATGTACAAGAATGTGCCAGCTCTCGAGGAATTAAGCTTATGAGTCGCACCATGAAACTTTGGGAGAGAGTGGTTGAGCAAAGACTTCGTAATAGTGTGAAAATTTCGGAAAATCAATTTGGTTTTATGCGTGGACACTCAACAACTAAGGACATTCACCTTCTTAGACAAGTTGTGGAGAAGTATAGAGACACAAAAAAGGATCTGCATTTGATGTTCATTGACTAAGAAAAGGCATATGATAGGGTACCTCGAGAAGTCACTTGGTGAGCCTTAACTAGAAAAGGCATATCACGTAAGTATATCAGTATCATAATGGATATGTATCATGCTTGTACTACAAGTGTCCGCACTAGTGTAGGGAGGACCACAGAGTTCCCTATTGCTATCGGAGTGCACTAAGGATCTGCTCTGAGTCCTTTCTTATTTGTTATAGTCATGGATGAACTTACAAAGTCAATTTAAGAAGATATACCATGGTGTATGATGTTTGCCGATGATATTGTATTGATTGATGAGATGCAATCTGGTGTTAAAGCGAAGTTGGAAGTATGGCGACAAACATTGGAGACCAAGGGTTCCAGACGTAGCCGAAGCAAGACTGAGTATATGGAGTGCAAGTTTGGTGGAGGTAGAAGTAGTAGCAACAATGGGATTGCTCTTGATGGTAAGAAGATACCGGTGTGTGATATGTTCCGTTACTTGGGCTTTATAATTCAGAAGGATGGTTAATTAGATGGAGATGTATGCCATAGAATCAAAGCTGGGTGGATGAAATGGAAAAGGGCTTCAGGATTTCTATCCGATCGAGGTATGCCGACTAGTCTGAAAGGTAAATTTTATCGAACAACAATTAGGTCTGCATTAATGTATGACTTAGAGTGTTGGGTGGTGAAGCAATGCTACATTCAAAAGATGAGTGTGGCAGAGATGTGTATGTTGCATTGTATGTGAAGACATACCAGAAAAGACTGCTTGAGTAATGAGATAATCAGACAAAAGGTGGGAGTAGCACCTATTGAAGACAAGATGCAGGAGTCTCGTTTTCGATGGTTTGGGCATGTGCGCAGAAGACTGAATGATGCACCTGTTAGGAGACTTGATATGTGGGGAAAAGAGGCAGAGAAGAGAGGGAGGGGAAGACCCAAATATACTTGGATTAGAGGAATTAGAACTGATATGCGTGTTCTTGGGTTGGATGAGAGTATGGTTTTGAAGAGAGCAAAGTGGATGACGCACATCTGTGTGGACGATTGATGTTTTTCTACCTTTTCTCTCGTTTTCTTTTATCGTTTATATTCTTTATCTTTTTATATTCTTATGTTATTTTTATCTTTTAGCTTTTTATGCTCTTTTATCTTTCTTGTATTCTTATATTATTGTTATCTTATATTTATTTATCTTTATTTATCCTTTTTATCTTCCTTTTTTGCGTTTTCTTTTATTTTCTTTTTATTTTCTTTTTCTTTTCTTTTTCTTTTCTTTTTTCTCTTCTTGACTGTCTTCTCTGTTTAACATCGATATCATAGATCGATTCATGTTAGTCGACCCCAAATTGTTTTGAGATTAAGGCGATGTTGTTGTATATTTTAATAATTCTGCTTTAGTATATTGAACACTTGGAGTTTGGATACATGGTGTTTGTTGAAATGACAGTCACGGGAAGTAATCAATAGTTATTGCATTTTTGTTAGAATCTATAATTTTTTGTGTCCTTCGTATGCACGAGGAAAAGATTGTGGCTCATGTGCTTGGAAGTTTCAAAGGTAATCAAGTAGCAGTTTCCAGTAGAGCCAGTTTCTCGTTTTACATTCCATGCTATTGTTAATGGTGATACATTCTGCTACACAGGTATACTATTCTTTATTGCAAGCTTACTAAAAGAATTCTCTTATAGTCTTATTTGAATGCAATAATTCTCCGCTAGGCTTTGAAGTACATTGCAGGCCTCCAGGTATTTCTTGTTTCCTATTTCTTCATTCTTAATGCTAAGAAATCAAGGGCAGCAGAATGTAAAAGGCTGCTTCATTTTGTTCTTTGGGGGTGATAGTGGTGGTGGTGCAGTAATAATAATCATAATAATAATGTGTACTATTTCATCCATTCCTAAATCAGTGCCCAATATGACTTGCGAACAATTTAAAAAATGGCCTACCACTGGAAGCTACTTTATGTCTATAAATGAAGAAAACGAATCCATGAAAGTGAAAGAAAATAAGCACCTCAAATAAACCAATGATGCGGAGTAAATCCTAATTTATCTCTGTTGATAATACACAAAATCCTTGTACAAATTACAGCTCAAATTACTCTGTCCCCAAGTTATATATATGCTTTCGTTTGTGCCCATCCCAAAATTGTTTCCCATTTCATATTGTTGGAGGTATTGGTCCTATCGAGGCCTCCCGTCCACTTATTCGTGCTAAGGCCTGCACCCTAAGTTTAACCGTGCTCCTATCGAGCAAATATCCTATCTGTTTAATCACTTATTGAACTGGCCGTTGCTATGTCTGGTGGGTGCCTCTCTGTCATTTTGTCTTCAACCCTTGTGATTGCTATAAGTCAGAGGATAGCCCTTCTTTGTTGAGTGCAGCAAATACATTGAGTGTATGAGTGAAGGTAGAACTAGCCATCAGTCCTGGTCTTCTTCGTGAGGTACCAAAACCATAGAGAGTGTGGGCTGATTTTCTTCTTCTTGTAGAGCTTTCTTGTGTGTGAGTTTGAGAGGTGTGAGAAGTTAAGCTTGGAGAGTGGTGGAGTGGCTAAACAATCTTAGGTGATGTGTGCATGGACGGAGTTAGGGATGGGCCAACCTAGGCATGACTCACCCCTAATTTTAAAAATGGCTTAATTTTTAAAATAAAAAATTTCGTGTAATTTTTTTTTAAAAATATTCTTTATACCGACCCAGTGTCCTGGCTCCGCCCCTAGATGTGTGTGAGTTGTTTTGGTTGGAGACCTGAGCTGAAAAACAGTGGTATCAGAGCCACCGTCGCCGTCGATTTCTACGGATTCTGCCGTCCGCCGCCGTCCTCTGCTGTCTGCCGCCCTCCGTCGATTCGAGGTCCTGGAGGCCGCCGGCCGTTCGCTGAAGCTTCACTTGGTGTAGTAGCTTCTGGTTCACCTCGAATCTAGTTCCCCTCACCGCCGGAGCTCGTGGGTCATTTTCCGCTGGAGCCGTTGTATGCTTGAGAGTTGTCTCCGAAGGATTGCCCTGTTCGTCACCGGTGCAGAGAGATCGTTGTGGATTTCCTCTCGTTGCTGGAAGGGGCTTGAGTTCTCTCGTAGACGGGGCAAATTATACCGTGCAACCGGCGCACCATGAGGATGGTGCGTCCGGTTGCAAAACGACGCAGCTTGCCCCTCCCTTTTTTTTGCTTTTGTTGTTAAAAAATGATAATAACTTTTTTATTTTTGATCCGATTTTTATAAAATTTATATCAACATTTTTTATTTTTCATGATCTTTCAAATGAGACCAATATTGCTTATGTAATTTTAAGAAATTATCGAACTATTATATTAATGAGTATTGGATTATAAGGAAAATCGAATCTGTTTGGGAGATGATAAGTTTGTGAAATAGAAGATCGAATCTGTTTGGGAGTGGATCAGTGGTCTCAGTTACATTTGATAATACATTGAGTTACATCTTTTTATGAGCGAGTTACATCTTTTTATAAGCAAGTTACATCTTTTTATAAGCAAGTTACATCTTTTTATAAGCAAGTTACATCTTTTTAAAAGCGAGTTACATATATATAAACACGAGTTGCATTTGACATGCCTGAACGCGACTTACATATATTTACACGTAAAGTTACATATTTTTACACGTAAAGTTACATATTTATACACACGAGTTGCATTTGACCTGTCTGAACGCGAGTTACATATTTTTTTACGTAAAGTTACATATTGTTACACGTAGAGATACATATTTATACACACGAGTTGCATTTGGCCTGACTGAACGTGAGTTACATATTTTAACACGTAACGTTACATATTTTAACACGTAAAGTTACATATTTTACACGCAAATGTTAATATGTTAAAATTACATAGGCAATATTGGTCTCATTTGAAAGATCATGAAAAATAAAAAATGTTGATATAAATTTTATAAAAATCGAATCAAAAATAAAAAAGTTATTACCATTTTTTTAAAACAAAAGGAAAAAAAAATATAAAACCGTACCGGTATACGGTGCTCACCGTATACCGGTCGTACGGTATAGGCACTGCGTAGAAGGAACGCTTGAGTCGTGTAGCAGTGAGCTGTGGGCTTGAAGAATTGGGCTGCACTGCTTTGATTTGGACTGGATTTGTGCTGGACCTTGGGCTGCTGGGTTGCTGAAGGAAGACTGCACCTGGTTGTTGGCCTGGACCTGCGCAAATCGCTGGAGCTTAAAGCAGCAGCTGGATTTGAGGTGAAGACTGGATTTTTGTGCCAGCAGAGTACGTGGGTCACAAAATTGGTGGCCAACCCTTGAAGTCAATTGGACGTTACTGGGCTTGAAGTCTTGGGCCAGACCTGGAGCTGGACAGTGGTCTGGTCAACACCGGTCAAAGTCAGTCAACAGTCCGAAAATCCCAATTTTAATTGGGTGGGTAAGGTCGAAACGCCTCTTCTAGGGTTTCGCTCCGGTATATTGACTTGAAACTCACTTTTATCGCTTTTGTAGTGATTTTTTAGTCTTTTATTGTGTAGAAATCATGTTTTAGGTTTATTATTGCTTTTAAAATTGAGAGAATAGTTGTTTTGTTTTCTGCTGAAAATTTATTATTTATTTGTGCTTATACGGAAGAACAAGGGGTTTGAACTTGAGTTTGGTGCTCATTAATACTCCCCGTGTGTTCGTGCTAGTTGCTTCGTATATTTGTAACCTTATAAATATTTAAATTGTTTTTCAACGAAAATTTACATTTTCTTTTGTTGCTTGTTTTTCTCTGTGAAAATGTCTGCTTATAATCAGTATGGTATGGCTCCATTTAATGGAAAATCTGATTTTAGCATTTGGAAGCAAAAAATTAAATATATTTTAATCCAACAAAAATGTTTTAAAGCAGTTGGTGAAACCTATTTAGTTTCTGACACAAAAGATAAAAGGGCTGAAATGAATGAAAATGCATGTTCTGTGATTTATTTGAACTTGTCTGTTTCTGTTATTAGAAAAGTTGGAATTTTAGAGAGTGCTAATTTTTTTTGGAATAAATTAGATGAACTGTACACTGAAACCTCTTTGCCTAGCCGGATGTTTTTACTTGAGAAGTTCTTCAAATTTAGACTGGATGTGTCTAAGGATATTGAGGAAAATTTAGATGTTTTTACCAAACTTATTTCTGATATTAAGTTGTGTGGTGATAAGCATATAGATGATTATTCCCCTATTGCTCTTTTAAATGTTATTCCTGATTCCTTTAGTGATGTGAAATCTGCTATTAAGTATGGTAGAGATAATGTGACTCTTGACATTGTGGTTAATGGTCTTAAGAGTAAGGAATTATATTTAAAACAGATGGGTGAGGGTAGAAAATCTGAGGAGGTTATGCATGTGAGGGGTAGAGAAAATAATAGAAGACATAGATCTAAGTCTAGGTCTAATTCGAAGCGTTGCTATTATTGTCATGAACCTGGTCATTTCATAAGAGACTGTCCTAAATCTAGGGAAAATAAGCATAATGAGCATGCTAATATGACTACTTGTGAAGATGATTTAGGTGATGTTTTTATGATGAGAAATCTATGTGATTATGACTATTTGAGTTCTGTTATATCTGATTCTTTGGGTAAATCAGATTGGGTGGTAGATTCTGGTTGCGCTTTTCATATGTCCCATTTGAAAAATGTTTTTTCAAACTATAAAGAGATTGAACATGGCTTTGTGTCTTTGGCAAATAAGAAGAAATGCAATGTGCTAGGAATATGAGATGTATGCCTTAGGTTCTCTTCTGGTTGTGTGCTTACTTTGAAGAACGTTAGGTATGTTCCTGAGCTGTGCTGTAATTTGCTATCTTGTGCATCTCTTAAAAATGATGGTTTGAAGGGAAAATGGGGAAAGAGAATCATGAAAGTTGTGAAGGGTTGTTTAGTTATTTTCAAAGTTGAGATGAAAAACAAATTGTATGTTTGTCATGCTGAACCCGTACTTGATTCTGTGAATTGTGTGCAACCTTGTGTGCTAGGAAAACAGTCTAGAGTTGGGATTTTTGATCTGCCTAAGTGTACTAATGTGCTTGATTGTATTCATGGTGATTTGTGGGGTCCTTATAGTGTTTCCACTCATGGCGGGAAAAATTATTTTCTGACTTTGATCGATGATTTTTCAAAGAAAGTGTGGGTTTTGTTGATTGAGAATAAATCTGAAGTTTTTGATAAGTTTGAAAACTGGAAAACCCTTGTTGAAAAACAAACCGGTAAGAAAATAAATTTTTTAAGGATCACTGTCAGTTTTGATTTTTGTGATGATCAGCTTGGTGATTTATGTGATACTTGGGGTATTTCTATGCATAAATCTGTTCCCTCCACACCCCAAACGGATGGGGTTGCTGAGAGGATGGTTAGAACTTTATTAGAGAGGATGAGGGCTATGTTAGCTTCATCTGGGCTCTCTAATAAGTTTTGGGGGGAAGCTATTTGTTATGCTGTTGATTTGGTTAATCTGTCCCAGTCTGTTCCCTTAGGAGAGAAATGCCCTGAATCTGTGTTCACGGGCGAACCACTTAACTTGCCAAATTTGAGAGTGTTTGGTTGTGCTACTTATGTGAATCGTGAGAATGATAAATCTGAACCTAGGACTAAGGAATATGTTTTCTTAGGATATCATGAATGCATGAAAGGTTATAGGCTTTGGTGTAGGAGTGAAACTTGCTTCAATGTGTTGATGAGTAGAAATGTCATTTTTGTTGAAATGCTTACTTGTTTCTCCTGATGTTGCTCCAAATGAGGTGGAGCATTTGCGTGTTGAATTTCATTCTGATTTACTTGTTGAAACCAAACCCAAATTTGTGAATGAAAATGTTTTTCATGGTGAAAATAAAGAAAATAATATTTCTATTAAGGTGGAGCATGATATGAATGTTGTGAGCAATATGCTTGAGTTGGGTGATTGCCATGTTATTAGAGATAGAGACATTAGGGAGCATGAGAGAAATGATATGTGCAAAGTGTTTGACTATATTTCCTTTGAGTTTGCTTTAAATGTGCTTAATTCTCTTTTAATTAAATTCTTTGTGATGTTTGGTATGCTATTTTCTTTGTGTTTTGAAAATGTGATACCATGTGATTATGTGAGCTCTACCTTTGCTAGTTATAGAAATAATATTGTTTCTTTTATTTTCTTTGTACTTGCCTTATGTGGTTGTTGGATTAGTTGGGATCCCCGACTTCTCCCGGTTGCTTGCTTGCGTGGTCTATTAACATGCGTTGTCTTTGTTAATACTTTCGTGATGGTTTCGGTTCTGAACTCGAGGACCGATTGGTAGAGTTCAGTCCATTATGAATTGGGTTTGCATGGTAAGCTTGGCCCGAAAGGGAACTTTGGTTCTCATCTATTACTTGTATTATCTGAATGATGTACTTGTAATGGTTCAGCGATGATGAGTCTCCTCACAATCGTGTATTTGTTACTCTACATCACATAGGACCAATAAGGTGGAGAATGTTGGAGGTATTGATCCTACCAAGGATCCCGTCCACTTATTCGTGTTAAGGCCTTCACCCTAAATTTAACCGTACTCCTCTCGAGCAAATATCCTATCTGTTTACTCACTTATTGTACTGGCCTTTGGCCCCTTGTTTTCTATCCGTTGCTATGTCTGGTGGGTGCCTCTCTGCCATTTTGTCTTCAACCCTTGTGACTGCTATAAGTCAGAGGATAGTCCTTCTTTGTTGAGTGCAGCAAATACATTGAGTGTATGAGTGAAGGTAGAGCTGGCCATCAGTCCTGGTCTTCTTCGTGAGGTACCAAAACCATAGAGAGTGTGGGCTGATTTTCTTCTTCTTGTAGAGCTTCCTTGTGTGTGAGCTTGAGAGGTGTGAGAGGTTAAGCTTGGAGAGTGGTGGATTGGCTAAACAATCCCGGGCATTGTGTGTGAGTTGTTTTGGTTGGAGATCTGAGCTGAAATACACACCCAACACATTAAAAGCAAAATAACGTGGTTCCATCTTCTCTCCCATTCTCGTTTTTTAGGGTCGCTAATTTATTCCACTTTATTTGGCTGGACTTATCTTTTAATCTTAAGCCCATTGCATACTGAGTGAGTAAAAGTGTCTTACTGTACACTTTTTACTTGCAAGGAGACACATAGTGTCAAAAAACTTGAAGTTCTTAAATGATGAGCTCCCTTAAAATGAGATTTAATTCAAATGGATTAATATTATTATTCATACCAACAAGGTGCATCTCTTTTAAGGAAGTTCATTACCTAAGAACTCCAAATTAAGCGTGCTTATCAGGGAGTAGTCTTGGGATGGGTGACCCACTTGAAAGTTTCTCAGGGTGCACATGAGTGAGGACAAAGTGCGTGGTAAAGACTCGTGGTGGTTTGTGAGGACAGTACTAGAAGTTTGGAGGGTGTGTAGGCGGGCCTTACGGGGCGGGGTGTTACATGTGATATCAGAGCAACCCCGCGATAGTGTGCTGACCCGTTGGATATCAGGCGAGCACTTAGCGAGGGAGGATTCTGGGATTTGATTGAGATTTGAGATTGGTTTATGGGCGCAACGAGGATGTTACGTTCCTAAGTGGGGGTGATTGTAATACTTGAAATTTAATTTAAATGAATTAATAGTACTACTCATACCAACAATGTGCATCTCCTTTTAAGAAGCTCATCACCTAAGAACTCCAAATCAAGCGTGCATGTAGGGAAGTAGTCTTGAGATGAGTAACCCCTGAGAAGTTTCTCAGAGTGCGCACGAGCGAGGACATAGTACGCGGTAAAGGCTTGTGATGGTTTGTGAGGATAGTACTAGAAGTCGGAGGATGTGTAGGAGTAACTATCTCGGACCCTACGAAGCGGGGTGTTACACTCTCGATCCTCGGGGTGAAGCCTTTGGCCTCGGCACAAAGAGCTCTCGAACTCACGCTTCTCAGCGCCCAACTACCACATTTAATGTCACGCCACGTGCTCGCCTCTGCGCCACATCGGTGCTCTCCGCCACAAATTAGGCTACACATGTATGTGTATTCAATGCACTTGGCATTTAAGACTAGTATATATAGTAGCCTTTTTAGCAGTTGTGACGGTTCAAATGTTCATTAATACTACCTGCGTCCTACTATGTTTGGGATAAGAGGGTGTGACACAACATTTAAAAAAAAAGTAAAATTGTGTGGTTGATAATGAATTGATAAAGTGTGAATAAAAATAAGAATGAATTGTAACTACCCAAATATTACAAAATATGGTATGGGATAAACTTAATGGGACGAACGAAAAAGATAAAGTGGGACAAAATTAGAGAGACGGAGGTAGTATGATTGTTCTCTCTCCTACTTAATAGCTTTTCCTTCTCTCTACATACCACTAGCAGTATCTCGATATTAACAATCTATCAAATGATTCTTTCATTGAGAGATTCAAGCACAATCAAGTGAAATTCCTCCGAAAAATACAAAAAATCATCACAAGAACCAACTCCATTCGAGATGCTTTCGGGTGAATTTTTTGTTGAAACTTTGTGAACATAATCTTCATGAAATTTGGGTTATGTCAACTACAGCATTTTTCAATAATTTATATAAAAATGCAATGTTTTTCAATAGATTATTTTATTGACTTTACAATTGAATTTTAGGATAAATTTGATTGACATGATCTACATTTCATGAAAATTATTCTCATAAAATTTCATCAAATCATACTACTTGAAAGCACCTCAAATGGCGGTGAACAATATATTAAACCCTCCATCTCGAGGAAAGGATGGATTTACGGGATTTTGATGCCTCCATTCCCAAAATACGAATGTCAGCATTAGGTTACCAATTTACGGGAAACGGAGTTGGCTAATCCGACTTTTCCTAGGGTTTTCCTAGGGTTTGCAGAGCTGTCAGCATCCCTATTTTCGGATTCTCCTAATCCGACTTTGGATTTTATTTTCAAGGAAAAACGGATTTGGTGAATCCGAAAAGTTCAAAACCAAAAAAAAAAAAAAGAAATCGGATGTCAGGAGTGAAAAGTCGTGTGTCAGTAGGCAAAGAAATTCGGATTTGCCTAATCCGAAATATGAAGCTCCCGGATTGGCCAATCCAAGTTTACCCGGATCGTACTTCTTCAGCTCATTTTTCAACCGTAGGATTTAACAAACTCATCCCAACTGTCCATTCTTTTACACGGAAATCCATACTCCCAATCTCAAACTTCACCTATTTAAATCAGTTCAACATCATATTCAGCCTACTACCATAAAAATAAATTTAGTTACAAAAAACTATTGAGTGTTCTTGCTAATTCTATTCTCCGAGTTTTTCAAAGAAAGGTTAGAATTTTAATTATATATTTACTCTTTACCGTTAATTTTTTGTACTGGTTGTGTTATGTCAGCCTGAATATTTCGAAAATCTTAATATTAATATGCAATTAATCTTAATTGCTATTAAGATTGTTGATATATGTCATACTAAATATATAACAATAGAAATAATTAGCCCACAACTTATAATTATTTGTAGTATTTCCTTTACAGTAGTTAATTTATGTTGATAATGTAAGCACATTTACTGTTTTTCAATTACTCTAATTATTGATTCACTAATATTTGTTACTAATGTATTAAATACTCCCACTGTCCCATAAAATTCTTCTCACTTTTTTTTTTGGACCGTCCCAAAAAATTCTTCCCACTTACCATTTTTGGACAATTTGTGTGGTTCACATTAATTTGACCTTTTTCTTACACAACTACAACCACACTTAAAGTGTGAAGAATTTTCTAGGACAGAGGGAGTACTAAATTAGTGTATGGTAATTTGAGACTACGTTGCGATTACAATTTAAATTTAGTTTAGTTAGTTGAACATTTTAATTTAGTCATCACTACTTATTTCCAAATAACATTATACTACGTAATATAATATAGTTCATACTCCGTAACATTTATTATAATTGAGCCATAAAAGCGAACATAAATTATAATTACACTATACCGGTAAAATTTTCACAAGCTCGTCTAGACTAGTCCTTTTCTAGTTTCTGGCAAATGTTATGTCTAGAACTAGTCCTTTTCTAGTTTCTGGCACAGTGAAAATATTACTCAATGACAAGTCTAAAATTGTATCGGTACATATAATATAATTGCACTATACTGGTACGATTTTCACAAGCTCGTCTAGAACTAGTCCTTTTCTAGTTTCTGGCAAATGTTATGTCTAGAACTAGTCCTTTTCTAGTTTCTGGCACAGTGAGAATATTACTCAGTGACAAGTCTAAAATTTGTATCGGTACATATAATATAATTGCACTATACTAGTACGATTTTCATAAGCTCGTCTAGAACTAGTCCTTTTCTAGTTTCTGGCAAACGTTATGTCTAGAACTAGTCCTTTTCTAGTTTCTGGCACAGTGAGAATATTACTCAGTGGCAAGTCTAAAATTTGTATGGGAACATATAATATAATTGCACTATACTGGTACAATTTTCACAAGCTCGTCTAGAACTAGTCCTTTTTTAGTTTCTGGCACGGTGGTAATATTGTTCAGTGGATAAGCCCATTATCAACCGTACATATATTATAATGTAATACATAAGACTGATATAGTTTCATTGAAAGTTTATGTGTAATTTATAATTTCATTTAATAAAACACGTCATTATAATATACATACACACACATATATAACACTAATATATGATTCTTATTGTCAGTTGAGATACGAATGGCTGCACAAATACCACTTATGGACCCGGTTGATCGGTCTGTGTTGGTGATGCCACGTTACGCGCATCGAGCGGACCTTGTCTGGAATGATGCTACACTAGTAAGCATCGAGCGGACGAATGGGTTCGTTGATCATCCCACCTACACTCCTGCGTACCGTGAATGGTACGCAAATGTCGGGAAACGACGGATTTGCAATCCGTTACATGGTCGACCTACAACGGGTTATGTAACTACTAACAGGGAGACAAGTACACTAGTAAGTATTTTATGTGTAATTATTCAACTTAGAAATGTTTATTATTATTTAATAACTTTACTTTTGAATTTTAGATGCAATGTATGGGCGATATCTATCGGCGCATGGCAGCTCCATTTGACGTCGAAGACATTCGCGAGCAAATTGCACGATGCCTTACAGGATTAGGTGCCGAGAATGTGCTTCATCAAGACATCATTTTCTATGGGGATGCCCATGATGATGCAGTGGATGATCATCCTCCACTTCAGCAAGACCGTAGAAGAGTCGCGGCCACTAGAGGTCGGCGTGACGGACGCGGTTATGTTGCTCCACACGTCGACAATGATGATGGTGATGATGATAATCACGATGATGATAATGATGATGAGGAGGAGGAGGAAGAGGATGACGGTGAAGAAGATGGTGGTGAAGAAGAAGGGCAACCATCTTCACATATTCATTCACACATCCCTTCCTCATCTCATGTACCTAATCAATACTCTACACCGACTAGTGCATACATTCCGACGTTTGATGCGCCATCGTTTATTCCACATGTACAGCCTACATATGAGACACGTCCCACCTTTTTAAATTCACCAATTGATTGATTGAACAACTTATTAGGATCAGATGTACAGAGTGGGATGGGGCAAGAAGCAGGGCCAAGCACACAACCGCCAATTGAACATAGGCCGAGACGGGATATACATTCTCGACGCTGTGGGACAGGGAGTCACTTCGTGGTGCCAGGTCGACACTATGAATCTGATGAATCAGAATAGTTGTATGTAATTAGTTTTATCAATTATGAATTGAATTTGTACTTTTAAATTATCAATCGAATTTGATATTATGTTATTATTATCAGGTACTTTTACTATTACGTTTCAATAATTCAATAATTCAATTGATAATTTTGAATTAAGTTATCAATTGAATTTGTAATTTGTAGTAATTTGTAGTAATTTGTAGTCCTAAGAAACCTAAGAAGTCTATTAAAAAAAATTTCTTGGGTTCCTCATACTTGAAAAATAAAAGAATAAAATCTTCCCTATTTAAGAGTATATGAGTTCTATTTTGGGAATAAAGTAAGTTTGCTCTTATTTGAGAAAAGTGCTACGAAGTATTTTTTTTTAAAAAAGTGCTACGAAGTATTTTACTCCTGATTAGAAAACATTCTTATTATATATTTCTCATTTTAAAAAGCTTTTTGTCCCGATATTAATCTTTTTTTTTAATTTAATGCATGCATACGTAATATCTGGTAATAATATTCCAGATATTGAATACTCTTTAATTTATAACTTTCTCCATATTAAATACATTTGTGCGGTGATAAAAATGAAATTTATTCGATGTTAAATTTTGGAAGAGTAAAATATAGTTTTTAAAGAAATGTATTCCTTATATAATATGTACATTTACAACCACCTATTATTCGAAATAATTTCAACCACTTCTCCCAACCACTTGCACCCACCTAAACCCACTCCCAACTATCAATAATTTTGATCTAAAAAAAATATTCCGGGTACAAAATCCACTCACTTTAAATTAAATCAATCAACTTTTAATTTTTCTGACAGATTCCCTGTCACTTCGGGAATCAATAATTCTACACAACATTCAATTTTTTTTCAACCACTTATTATTCGAAATAATTTCAACCACTTCTCCCAACCACTTGCACCCACCTAAACCCACTCCCAACTATCAATAATTTTGATCTAAAAAAAATATTCCGGGTACAAAATCCACTCACTTTAAATTAAATCAATCAACTTTTAATTTTTCTGACAGATTCCCTGTCACTTCGGGAATCAATAATTCTACACAACATTCAATTTTTTTTCAACCACTTATTATTCGAAATAATTTCAACCACTTCTCCCAACCACTTGCACCCACCTAAACCCACTCCCAACTATCAATAATTTTGATCTAAAAAAAATATTCCGGGTACAAAAGTGTACAAATTCCACTCACTTTAAATTAAATCAATCAACTTTTAATTTTTCTGACAGATTCCCTGTCACTTCGGGAATCAATAATTCTACACAAATACTTGCAGCCAAATACTCATAACTACTATTATTAAAGAAATTACACACACCTTTCCTACGAAGTACTAATTTTTTTTTACTATAAAAGGCTCATCACTTGCACCCAAATCCTGAGTCACCATATTCTTGCTATCTATTTATCACCTTACATATACGACATATACGACAAATTCAGAATCAATGTCAAGTACAAAAAGGCGTGGTATGGACGTTTGATTGCCCTTGAACGAAGATTCGGGAACTGGGAGGCGGCCTACAATGATTTACCCAATTTGTTGCTTGCGATAAGAGAATCAAATCCGGGGTCAGTGGTAGATTTCCAACCAAAACCAACCAGTCATGATGGTACGTATGAATTTCATCGTGCATTTTGGGCTTTTAAAGCTTCCATTGATGGGTTTGAACACCGTCTGCCCGTAGTATCTGTTGACGGTACTCACTTGTACGGAAAGTTCAAGGGTCATCTCTTGGTTGCAGTCGCCATGAATGCTAACCGTGAGATTTTCCCTCTCGCGTACGCAGTTGTGGAAAGTGAAAACACAAATAGTTGGTCCTGGTTTTTGGAACACATTATGACTTATGTTGTCAGACCAAATCGGCATGTGTGCATAATATCAGATCGACACCCTGGCATCCTAAGTGCCTATCAATCAGTACCTCAATTGAAAACCTCCCAAGTTTCGAAGCGGTTCTGCCTCCGACACATTAGAAGCAATTTCATGACAAAATTCAGGAGCACTGAAGTGAAAAAGCTCTGTTGGCAGGCCGGGAGTACACCCATGGTGAGTGAATTTTACCAAACAATGGCTCAAATTCGTGCTACGAATGAGAATGCGTTCACGTATTTGAACGCTATTCCACGTGAAAATTGGGCACTGTGCTTCGACGATGGACGACGTTACGGCATCCTCACAACAAATCTTTCCGAGAGCTTCAATAACGTTCTAAAGGGATGTCGAACACTTCCAATCACCGCGCTGGTTAAGGCAACTTATAACAAAGTTGTCCAACTATTTGCCGATCGACGTAGGGCCGGTCAGATGTGGCGGCAAGCTGGGTTCCTATATCCGCAAAATATATGGAAAGATATTCTTGAACGTTCACAGAAAAGACATCAGTGCACTATTGTCCCGCATAACCGAACAACGGGAATATACTCTGTTTCCATCCGTGATTATCCGCCGGTAACGGTAAATCTCTCACGTTGCGAATGTGATTGCGGTTTTTGGAAGCAAAATGGATTTCCATGTGTGCACGCCTATGCAACATGCTATTTCTTAGAAATAACTGTAGATCATCTCATCCCGGACGTGTATAAATTAGGTGCGTACATCCGTACGTATGCTACAGATATTATGCCTATGCATGACGTAAGTGCGATGCCTGATACCGGATATGTAGTGATACCGCCTCAAAGTGCTCGACGCAGTCAAACCGGTAGGCCTCAAAGGACACGATTTACAAATGAAATGGATATGCGTCCGAGTAGGAGAGCACAAGAGTAAAAATTTATATGTATTTTGTAACTTTTTTTCAATGAATAAAAATTTGTATTTCTTTGTCATGTTGTTGTTCAAGAAAAATGAGTAATGAAATATTTATATTATTTAATTTTGTGGGAACATTGAATAAATTTGTAATACAATATAATTGAATATGTATGTTCACTATTACAATCTCTAACATAACAATTGATTATTTCTTATTTAATAAAATAATACATGTCTTTCCAACTATAAATATCACTAAATTTATTTACTTTTGTACATATTATCCAAATCAATTAAACTCAGAACACTTCATCATAAAATATAAAATATACCTCGATTACAAAAGTGATTGCAACAATAAATTAAATCGGTCAAACTTTACTTTTTGAAAAATACCTTATTTTTGGGTGCCTAAAAATAATTCACTAACAAATTTATATTGAATTATTTGTATATATAGCATGTTTTAAAAAAAAGTGTACGTAGCATTTTTCAATAAAAAAAATTAAAAGCTTATGTACCTACAAAGCAAGTTTTTCAATAAAAAAAATTAAAAGCTTATTTCGGATTAGAGGAATCCGTTTTTTAGCATTCCCCTGCCAACCCTAAAGTTTTCGGATTAGCCAACCCCGTTACCCGTATTTTCAGAAAACCTAAAAAAAATCTCGTATTTTGGAAGGCCAGGCAATGGTTTCCCGTCATTTGAGAAATCACCCCTCCATCTCACTATCCACCCCACCCTTTTGAGCTTTAAAATGTACCACAACCCTTCTAAATGGGAACGAAACTTGGACCGGACCAACACGTCCCAAAAATTGAAGCCTAGGATCATGACCTCTTTCCTGTCGGTCTAATCACAATCCCGGCTTAGAACCTAATTTCTCAACCCCGAATGAAAAATCGACCAATCCCAGGATCATGTCCACCCCTAGGCTGGTAGGCATAATGATGCACTTTTGATAGTCATTTTTCATGCACTTCGATATTCAATACTAACCAAAGAATGATTAGGGTAGGTTATACCCCATCAAATTAGAAACAAGACATGGAGGCAAAGCACAAGAAAAATGCCATCCATGATCTAACCATACACCACATCAATTATACAATTTGATGTTCCTAGGCCTAGCACGTAAAACAATGAACATCGGGCCAATATTCTAATGAATTATTTGTTCTTTTAATCCCCAAAAATGAGAGTTAGAGAGAGAGTGATAAAGAAATGGTTCAAAAAGACAAGGATCAAGCTGATATGAATTTCTAGCTTTCTCAAGAGAAATATTAGTACCCATAGTTGGCACCGTACACTGAACTATAGCCCCCAGCAGTTTGCCCAGAGATAGTTGAGCTTTGGGGGGCTGATGAGTACATGGAACCTGCAGGGGGCGCATAAGCACTGTATGATTGGTCAGCGAGTGGAGCTGCTTGAGTTTGAGGAGCAGCTGCTGCCGCTGCTGCATCAGCCATATAGTTCTGCAACAACAACAAAGCAATACAAAGTGCACTGTTCAGTATGGACTTCAACTCGTCAATGTGATGATACATAAATAAAAAAAGTGAAAGCCCCCTCATATTTCTTCCCCCGCTCACATTTTATCATCTAAATCACCTGTCTATCAGACCACAAAAATGATGATATTTTATAGGACTAGGAAGGAACAAACAGAATGTCAAAAGAGTATTTGGGTATTTTATCTACTTGTTCGCTACAGAAAATATTAGTGAAATGATCCATACAACTAGAGAAAAGTGATAAAAAAAGTAATAGTATTCCCTCCCGTCCTCTTTATGATGTTGCATATTATGGCTCCAAGAGGAAATGATATTAAAAGCATTTAAAATCTTCAATTTCTTGATATGTCCTAGAACATTTTAAGTGGAATATATCTGGAGCACTCAAGACGGACAACCGTCGGAGGAATTTTTAAATCAGAACTGATAATACAAATATGACTTGTAGATTCCTGTGTTACAAAACCCAAACCGGCTAGGGAGGGTCAACCCGGAATCTGACGACCCGCTTTCAATAAAGGCCGATTGACCCCGTAACTCGATTAAAGCCCAGCCAAATCACCAGCCTGGTTATTCCCCAGCCCGAAACCGGGACAGAGAGACCCGCTGGCCCGGGCTGCCACTTGCGAACTTAGGTCGTGTTCATGCTCTTACATATGTTATGTCATTCGGCCAATTCCGCCACTTGAGTTAGTGTGCCAGGTTCGTTTTAAAAGATGTTTAAGCCATTACTTTAATTATTGAAAAAAATCCACTAATATTACTTCTGGAAAAGTGGTGGACAAAATTGTGACTTAGTAACTATTAGTGACTATAATCGTGTTCAAAGCTTACATCGTAGTGACTACAGTAGTCACTACGATGTAAGCTTTGAACACGATTATAGTCACTATTAGTTAAAAAGTCACATTTTTGTCCATGACTTTGTTATTAGGAATATTTAAGGAAAAACCTCTTACTTATTAGTTATTGATTAATTATTATTATTATTATTATTATTATTATTATTATTATTATTATTTTCTATTATTGCTGATCAAGTATTCATAAAATACTCCAAACAATTTTGAAAGAAATTATATACTCCGTAATATTTTAAAATCTTTGTATGTTATGTTATATGGAGCATCTATTATCTATATTTTCCGAAACACATTTTGAATTTTATACAAAAACTATTTTTCAACACTGTTTCTGTTTTTTTACCCTATGGGGTCGGGGGTACCCTGGGGGTCGGGGGTAGGGGCCAGGGGGACCTAGGGTAAAGAGGGCTTCAACACTTTGTGTTTTCCAAATAGTCCACGAACAATTTTACTATTATTAAATTATGAATGATTGGTTTTCTTCTTGAAAGAATGACTAAAACAAGACTTCCGGCTTATGGAAAGACAAAACTAGGAGTACACTGCGTTTGGACAAAAAACTAACTGAAAATGGCTTAAATTGACTTTAATGTCCCTATACCCTAACTGCCTAACCTTCCCTTCCGATTTCTACTTCAGTGCGCTCAACTCTTTTTCTCCCGACGCATCAAGCAAACAGAGGCATCGCGAACTCCTCCGCTGACAGAGCCGCATATCGCTACACTGGCCGTCGCCGTCTCCCTTGTCTCACGCCGGTAAGAGAGCAGAAGCAGATCTTCATCGCTGTCATCACCCTGGCTTCTCGGCGCTGCCCTGCCCAACTTCTTTTTCTTCGCTTTCTGTCAGGCGTCGCCCAGGGTGGAGGCTACTCTAGATCTGTGACGATCCTGCGGCGGCTGGGCGTGGCAGGGCAGCGGTGGTGCGAGGATTTGGGTGACAGGGGATGGGGAGTTGAGACTGGTGCCAGGAGATGGGGCGGGGAGCTGCGGTCTGGGGAGGGGGCTGAGTGCTGGGGGTGAGGAGGGGGGTGGGTGAGGCATGGGATGGGGTGACGCAGGGGTGGGGGATTGGGTGAGGCAGGGGGATGGGGTGTGGGGCCAGAGGTGGTTGTCGTAGGCGGTGGCTGGAGGTGGTTGTCATTGGCGGTGTTGGTCAACGGTAATCATTATTCGATCCGGATAACGGTAAATGATCAAATCGGTATTTGTAATTGGTTGGGCGGGTAAATGTAACTGAACGGGTCAGATAATTGTCACTGGACGGGTCAAATAACTCTAACTGGACGATTCGGGTAACTGTAACTGGACGGATTGGGTAACTGTAACTGGAAGGGTCGAGTAATTGTCACTATACGGCGGACGTTGGTCATTGGGTGGACAGACGTTGATAACTAGGTGAATTTTTTGTCACTAATGATTTTGGTCACTGATGGTTTTTGAATTTTTGGTTACTAATAATTTTTTTCACTGACGAGTTCTGGTCACTGTAACGCATTTGTCACTGTAGCGGGTCTCCTGGGCTTTAGTAAGGGCAAAATAGTCCGTTCAGCCTTTTTTAGTTACATTTTTGGATTTTTTTAAAAAGGTCACTTTTTTGTCCATTGGTTAATTTTTAGTAATATTGGTGTTCTAACCCCTTTCTTCTTTACATCTATAATTTGATACTCCATATATAATTATACATACTCTATTTTTTATTTTTAGTCAACATTGACTAGGTTGACTCTTCCGGGTCTGGGTGACCCTTGATCCGTCACGTTCTCGGGTCAACTACTGTTACGGTTTTGATAACAGGGGTATTTCGGACCATACTAATATGCCTTATAAATACAACCAGTCAGATGCAGAACTACTACTAGAAAAAGCAATCCAGTGATTAAAAAATGTTAATTGACAGGTAAAGAATTGCCTGTATCAATTGCTGTGCAGTCTGGACTTGAGAAGCAGTTCCATTTATCTCAACTGTCATCTCACCAGGAATTCCCCTTGCTTCTTGAATGGTAACAGTAGACCCGCTGACACGCCGGATGTAACTTATGCTTGAACCGTTTGTCCCGATAACGGCATCGGCATACGATAGTGGGATTTGCATTTGCTGTGTGATCTGTAAGTTTCAACTGAACCATTAAAACACTTTGATAATCCATATACTTTAAAAAACAGTTCTCGTGCAACTCTCATTTTGAAATAATTAGTGAAAAACTAGCAAACTAAGAATACTAGACTAATAAAGCATCAGCTTAATCATAAAGGATACTCAAACACTCAGCTCTGTGCTCGTCTCTCGGGGTGTATCATCACCCCCCTCTGGGACATAAAAAGCTAGAAGTGATGTCTAACCCCCTGCGTGGTGATACTCATCGTTTTCAGGATAAAATGGAATTCACCAAAAAATACTGCATTCATAGCACTGAACCCCATGAACTGGTTTTCAGGCTTTGTATATATCTCGTTGGATAAATAGCAACGTGTTGAGCAAGCTCATTTTAGCTATTCTTTTTGACATATATACTCCCTCCGTTTCTGAAACAAGTTCCACCTTTCCTTTTTGGGCAGATTCAAAATTAAGTTCCACTTTCAAACATTTCCTTATTATGTACATCAAAACAGTGTCAAACAGTGCCAAACAGTGTCAAACAGTGCACTCCACAGTAAAGTCAATTTTATTTTCTTAATATGTGTGAAGTCAAATGTGTAACTTGTTTAGGAATCGGATGTACATAAGTGTAGAGTCGGATGTACATAAGTCTCTTTGTGTTTATTAATAATTTTATGAGCATGTTCTCAATGAAGTGTAGATTATCTCCATTAAATTTCAGTTTCAAATTCAATCAAGAAGTTGGATAAATACAGTATTGAAAATTGTGCAGTCTTATGTATATAAAATGCGGTTTTTTTCAATAATTTATTTAGCTGAGTTCTCGTTTGAATTTAATCTGTAATTTGGTGTAGATAATCTACACTTCATGGAGAACATGCTCACAAAATTTGGGTTTAATGCACCAAAACCCCCTTGTGAAATATAAATTCGGCGCATTAGCCCCTGTAATATAAAAAATGCGTCAAACCCTCCTGTGTTATAATTAATCAAGTGCAAAACCCCCTCCAAGAACAAATTTTACAATTTTGAAATCACTTTTTTTTAGTAATATGGTTGAATATGTAAGTTACTTTGTCAAAATTTCTAAATTATACAAAAAAACTAATCATTTTTCATTTTTTTTTGAAATTAAATTTGTTCTTGGAGGGGGGTTGGCGCATGATTAATTGTAACACAGGGGGGTTTGACGCATTTTTTAAATAACAGAGGACTAATGCGCCAACTTTATATTACACGAGGGGGTTTGGTGCATTAAACCCCACAAAATTTCATAAAAATATTCGACCCGGAAGCACCTCAAATGAAAGAGGCCTAAAACTTGTAAGCTTTAGGCCTACCTTAGGAGAATATTTATCTATACGGAGAGTGTTATCCTAAAGTAAGCCTGAAACTTATAAGTTTTAGGCCTCTTTCATTTGTGGTGCTTGCGCGTCGAATTTTTTGATGAAACTTCGTGAGTATGTTCTTGATGAAGAGTAGATTATGAAGAACATGACGGGAGTGTGGTCCGACCACTTCAAATTAAGGTGGTTCCCGGTTGTATTTTTGACTGATTTTTTTGTGTATAATGTTCATCAAGTCTAGTTATCCATACCAAATTTGAGTAAAAACTTCAATCGGGAAGGTCGTTAAATGAATTTTGAAAGATAAATGCGCCGAAATATACATATAAAACGCAGTTATCTTTCAATCATCATTTGACGACCTTCCCCTTTGAGTTTTTTGCTCAAATTTGGTATGGATGAACTAGACTTGATAAAAAACATTTGGTATGGATGAACTAGACAAGATTTCAGTCAAAAATACCACTGGGAACCACCTCAAATTGAGGTGGCCGGACCACCCTCTTGTCCGGCCTGGCCGGATAGGAATATTTGTGTGTGTGTGTCATTGTGTATATACAACAAGGAGGGGGGAAAAGTAAGATAAAACGGATAAAATAAAGATAAATAAATATAAGATAACAATAACATAAGAATATAGAAAGATAAAAGAGAAAGATAAAGGAGCATAAAAAGCTAGAAGATAAAGTAACATAAGAATATAAAAAGATAAAGCAGATAAACGATAAAAGAAAAGAGAGAGGAAATGTAGAAAAGACATCAATCGTCCACACGGATGTGCGCCCTCCATTTTGCTCTCTCCAAAGCTATAATTTCATCCAACCCAAGAAGACGCATATCAGTTATGATTCCTCTAATCCAAGTTTGTTTGGGTCTTCCCCTCTCTTCTCTGTCTCTTCTCCTCACCCCTCAAGCCGTCTAACAGGTGCATCACTCAGCCTTCTACGCACATGCCCAAACCATCGCAAACGAGACTCCTGCATCTTATCTTCTATAGGTGTTACTCCCACCTTTTGTTTGATTATCTCATTGCTCAAACGGTCTTTTCTGATATGTCCACACATCCAACGCAACATACGTATGTCTGGGCATTGCTTCACCGCCCAACACTCTACGCAATACATTAGTGCAGGCCTAATTGTTGTTCGATAAAATTTACGTTTCAGTCTAGTCGGCATACCTCGATCGCATTGAAATCCTAATGCACTCTTCTACTTCGTCCACCCAACTGTGATTCTATGACATACATCTCCATCTAGTTCACCATCCTTCTGAATTATGAAGCCCAAATAATGAAACATATCACACACCGGTATCTCCTTACCATCAAGAGTAATTCCACTGTTGTTACTACTTCTACCTCCACCAAACTTGCACTCCATATACCCAGTCTTGCTTCGGCTCAATCTGAAACCCTTGGTCTCCGATGTTTGTCGCCATACTTCCAACTTCGTTTTAACACCGGATTGCATCTCATCAATCAATACAATATCATCGGCAAACATCATGCACCACGGTATATCTTCTTAAATTGACTTTGTAAGTTCATCCATGACTATAGCAAACGAGAAAGGACTCAGAGCAGATCCTTGGTGCACTTCGATAGTAATAGGGAACTCTGCGGTCCTCCCTACACTAGTGCGGACACTTGTAGTACAAGCATGATACATATCCATGATGACACTGATATACTTATGTGATATGCCTTTTCTGGTTAAGGCCCACCAAAGGACTTCTCGAGGTACCCTATCATATGCCTTTTCTAAGTCAATGAACACCAAATGCAGATCCCTTTTTGCGTCTCTATACTTCTCCACAACTTATCTAAGAAGTTGAATGGCCTTAGTTGTTGAGCGTCTAGGCATAAAACCAAATTGATTCTTCGAAATTTTCACACTTTTACGAAGTCTTTGCTCAACCACTCGCTCCCAAAGTTTCATGGTGTGACTTATAAGCTTAATCCCTCGATAGTTGGCACATTCTTGTACATCACCCTTATTTTTAAATAGGGGAATGAGAGTACTCTTCCGCCAACTCACCGGCATTTGATGTTTTTCCAAATCATGTTGAAGAATTGTGTTAGCCACTCGATGCCTATATCTCCCAAACTTCTCCAAGCCTCGATCAGTATGCCATCTGGGCCCACTGCTTTTTTTGCCCCATATTTCTCATAGCCTCTTTGATTTCTGTTGTTTGAATCCTTCTCACGAAGTCCCGATTTACCATACACTCTGGTATAGTAAGATCATCAATACCTTGCACTTTATTCCCGTTGAACAAAGTATCAAAGTATGACATCCACCTCTCTTTTATTTCCTCGTCCTCAATTAGTACCCTTTGATCAACATCTTTCACACACTTAACTTTACCGATATTTTGAGTCCTATGGTCACGAAGGCGAGCAAGTCTGTAGATATCTTTTTCTCCTTCCTTAGAGTCCAATTTTACATACAATTCCTTGTTCACTTTTCCTTTGGCTTCCTTCACAGCTTTCTTTGCTCTTCTTCTAGCCTCGTTTGCTCTTTTTTTAGCCTCCTTGTACTCCTCTATGTTCTCGTCGCTCGGACTTTTGCCCAATTTCTTACAGCATTCCCTTTTAGTCCTTATTGCTTGTTTCACCTCAACATTCCACCAAGACGTGTCCTTTTTTGGAGGCAGACATCCTTTAGATTCTCCGAGTATCTGCTTCGCCACTTTGTTAATGGTGGACTCCATTGATAACCACACATCATCCACATGTGCGTCATTATCAATAGATCATACAACTTTCTCCAACATTTTGTGTGCAAAACTTTGTTGGAGATTCACCTCAAGCCTCCACCACTTTATCTTTGGCTCCCCTTGTACCTTAACCCACCTCCTCTTTTTACCTTCAAAATCAAGCACAAACATCTTACACTGAGTGACAACACTATTATCTAGGATAACCTTACAACCAATGTAGCTAGTTCTCTAAGTCATCCGTACTAAAAAGTAGGCAATTTGGGTACTATTAGCTCCACTTCTATAGGTGACAAGGTGAGAGTCTCTTTTCTTGAACCAAGTGTTCATCACAGCCAACACATATGTCGAGGCAAAATCCAAAATGTTCTTCCCCGCTTCATTTCTAATGCCAAAACCATGTCCGTCATGGATACTCTCAAAACCATCACGACTTGGACCCACATGCCCGTTGAGGTCGCCTCCTATGACCAACTTCTCTCTTTGGCACTCACCGCACCACTTTCTCAAGATCCTCCAAAAATTGTTGAGTGATAGATGCATTCAATCTCACTTGTGGTGCATAGGCACTTACCACGGACACGATCTCATCTCCTATTATTAACTTAATGCTCATGATGCGATCGTTTTTCCTAAAGACTTCAACCACACCCTCAACAAAATCATGTGCCACTATAATACCTACTCCATTTATGTTCCTCTCTCTTCCCGAATACCACAGATTAAAACCTCTGGGATTAATCTCACGTGTCTTTTCTCCAACCCACTTAGTTTCTTGCATGCACATTATGCTAATATTCCTCCTCTTCATAACATCGGCTATCTCAGATGATCTTCCCTGTAAGAGAGCCAACATCCCATGTCCCAAAACGCAATCTAGCACCATGCCTTCTCTTCTTCACACCACATCGACCCCCACCATGCACTTGCATATTTGACACCATCCCCGGGCATTGGAGTGGCGCGTCGCTTCCAGGCGATGACCTAACAGCCTTAGCATTCTTATCCCCACACCCAGGCCTATGAAGTGTAGTTTGCCCTTGCTCATTTGACACCACCCCCAGGCGGAGGGATGACGTGTCACTTACGGGTGACGACCTAGCTACAACAATATTCATATTTGGATTCATGTCATGTGATGTGACTAAGTGATATTGTTGGCCGTCACGCGCCTACCACTTACATGTTTAGGCCTCTTTCATTTGAGGTGCTTCCGGGTCGAATACTTTTATGAAATTTTGTGAGCATGTTTTCTCCATGAAGTGTAGATCATCTCCTCCAAATTTCATATTAAAATTCAAACAAGAAGGCAGTTAAATAAATTATTGAAAAAAACTGCATTTTATATATATATATATAAACTGCACAATTTTCAATAATTTATTTATCTGGCTTATATATATATATATATATATATATATATATAACTGCACAATTTAAATTATTTTCAATAATTTTTATATATATATAGCATATGCAATGTTAACCAGGAGAATTCATCAGATCCAAAACATTAGATAGATTAACAGCACTAACCTGAGTAACTACGGATGATCCTGATTGGCTGTTGGGTGGTGCATGGACTCCCAATGGAGTGTCTCTTCCATAGGCAGATATACCTTGATGAGGCACCCTTTCCACGGGAGGAGGGACATCGGCTGGTGGGTAGTAATTATCACGTTGCCTGGAGGGTGGCATGAAGTGAGGATTAGAGCCATATCCAGGACCTCCAAGAGCATTTGGATGATAAGCTTGAGGTGGAGGACCCCAAGATTGGGGAGGCACATATTCAACAGGAGGTTTTGGCATTTGCATCTATAAAAAAAGGCAACAAAATTATATCTGTCAAGTAACTATAACAACTCCCCTGGGATAAAATTTCATGGTAAAGTAGGCTCACCTGCATTTCAAAGATTGGAATGATGCTGCGATCAACTAAAAATTTCCTCAGGTGAGAGGCAATCAACTCAATTCCTGTGTGTACGCCAGTAGGCTCCCCAACCACCTCAACAACCCTATCATCTGGCAATGCAAATACTGGTAGGTCCTCTGCAATTATTCACTTAACACATCATAAACTAGATTAAGCTAATTGCGCCAGTAAACAGTATGTCCAATTTAGACAATAAATAGCAGACAGAACTCAGAAGAGCATATGTGCATCATCATGATATTCCTAAATATAATGATACTGCTGAAGTTGTGATACTCCTGAAGAGGCATTTTCAGGGTTTAGACCCCTGACCTGTGCTCGAAGTAAACTCCTAAATTGCAGAACAAGAAAAAATACAAACAGTTATACAGCTTATAATATTGAAATCCTACACTTAATGTCAGATAAGAAGTTGGGTTCTAGTCCCTCGAACCAACGTTTTAAATTACTCAACGCAACAGCGCAACAAGTCGCGCCTCAGGGATATTTATTCCAAATATGATAGCAGGCATACCCCATTTAGGCAATGGGTAGTCTTAAGCTTTTCCATCCTAAGGCGTACGCAATATACGCTACACAACAAGGCTGTTCCTGAGACATACCTTCCACTGCCACTCTTCTTCTTTGACGCCATTGTCTCTCATAGAAGCTTAGTGTTTAGTTGACCATCCATTTCTCTTCTCATTTATTTTTCCTTTTTCCTGGGGGGAAATACCCTGTTTGGAATGTGTTAAATATTACTGAGTACTTTGTAATAAATTATCCCCTCCATCCCGAAATATAGTTCTTGTTTGGGCTTGGCACACTTATTTAGAAAGCGGTGGTTGAGAAAAAAAGATGTTGTAGAGATTTGGGTTAAATTGAGAAAAATGATAAAACCACATACTTCTTTACTAAAAAGGAAACATGAAGATTATCTTGGGACCGACTAAAAAGGAAAACAGGAATTTAGTTTTTTTTATGGAGGGAGTACAACTTATCTATTAGAATTTTCAGTTAGACCTCCAAGCCCTGAATCTTCTTGTTCTTCTAGTTGTTGTTTTTCCCACTACTGTCAATCTCGGATAACAAAGTGTAATGGGCAGCCTTGAAAACACTATAGTGGTAAAGCGGGTAGTGGGATGACCGCTTTTTATGCGACTTTTATACACGATATATACATAGATAGGGTGAAGTTGAGATAAAAAAGTGTTTCCCGAGCAAAAGGCGCACAGAATAAATTTTTCCCGTCTGTAATGCAACTTGACGTTTAAAGTAATACATATTTTGCGGTGATAAAAATGCATGGGTGACGGAAATATTTGATTGTACAGCGATTCAGATTATCAAGTGGAGAAAGCCTAAGAAGAAGTTCAAGCTTAACGTGGATGCTAGATACTTATCTGATAGTGCAGCTGGTGGTGCAATCATGTGGACCGGAGAAGGTAAGCTTCTGTTGGCTATCGCCTTTCCGGTGGAAGCTCATTCACCCATTGAAGCAGAGTTGAAATCTATGCTTTTGGCATTTCGCGGGGCTATCGAACAGGTATATGCGGATTTTGAGGTTGAATCTGATTCGTCTCTTGCTATTGAATTTCTAACAGGCGGGCAATTGAGAAGATGGAGGAAAGATATTCAGGAAACCTTGCTGATTGCAAATAGGAAAGGGGTGACCTTTCGACATACTATGCGCGAGACCAATTGGGCGGCCCATTTTTTGGCAGCAACAAATTCAGCCCAGTTTCAGACCTTTAGAAGCGCAGATTTGCTTCCGAGCTTGGTAAAATGGGCCTACTACATGGACATTTATGGTATTCCCTCTTTTAGATTTGGGTAAGGTTTACGCTTATTGTATTTTGAAAGGGTTACTCTTTGAAGAGGTTTTGGCCTAGTCCCCCTCTTCTTTTGTACTCTTTTTCCATTTTAATAAAATACGGCAAATGTTCCCCGGCGTTTGCCCCACTGATTTTGGTGGTTTGCCTACCGGGTTTAAAAAATAAAAAATACGGAAAATTTTGATTTATTTACCAAAATGCCATCACATTTTTTGCCCTTATATCATAAATCTGATGCTCCTTATTTGTTTGCATTTTCCATGGAAAGATGACTTTTTTTAACCAAAATCTAATGCACACATATATAAAGTTATAATAAACTAAACAAATTTCAAATCTATAAAATGATACACACACTATTTCGCAAGTTGGCTGAAGCTGTAGGAGGTCACAGCCTCACAGGTTCCCTCCGATGGGTATCCGACCTCTGGAGGTCGCAAAATGAGGGAGATGAGTCATTGAAGACCTGAGAGGCCGGGAGGTGGATCATCGAACACCTAGGAGGTGGGTCATCGAATATGTGGCAGGTCTATTGCAAGAGAATAAGAGATTAGTGAAGAATTAGCATTAAAATAGAGAAGCGTTTTGAAGGGGATAGAAGGGTTCAAAAGGGCCTTTTTTACTCTAAAAGGATGAAAAAATACTCCCTAGTCTCCACCCAATAGAAAAAACTTTTAAAGCCAAAAATACCCCCATCCCCCCCCCCCCCCAAGAACTAAACTATTTGTACCTATGTGACTGCAAAGAAAGGAACCAGAGTTGTGGCGCTCCTTGCCATCTGCTCTGCTGTAGTGAATCCTGTAGGTAGTAGGTGCCACTACGCCATTATAGCGCGCTATTGACAACACTAGTTTTTACTTTTCACTAGAGTCTCTAAGCTAATCTCTATCAATACTCTTCTAGTTTTTCTAGTTATTGATTTAGCTAAACTCCTTATTAGCTAATCTCTATTAATAGCACATATTCAACAGTAATAGAAGAAGACAGTTAACACAATGTATGGACAAAAGCCACTGATTATGAATGTAGATAAAAGGCCAAAAAAGGAAGAACCTGCTCCAAGAACTCTAACAATACAATTAGAAGCTTCCTGAATGGACTTGACAGTTGTGCCCTGTTTTCCAATTAAGCTCCCTGCCTGTGCAGCGGGCACAAGCAGCTTTGTCGAAACCTTTCCATTTACAGTATGTGGGGAATGCGAGGAATCAGTCTCCAGCCCATCTACAACGCGTTTATGAACCCTGAGAAGGCCCTCCACAGCTGGTGGTGGAGAAACATCTGGCTCCTCCTTTGCGGATACCATAACCTTCATAAGAAGGAAAGAATCATAAAACACAACAAAAATGATTACAAAATTACAGAAAAAATGATGCAATAGAAATTTTAGGACTCCAGAAGCAACATAGGAATAACTCAACTTCATCGCATATCTATTATTATATACTCCCTCCGTCCCCCTAACTTTGTCCCGTTTTACCTTTTTTGTCGGTCCCATTAAGTTTGTCCCACACCATATTCAGTAATATTTGGGTGGTTACAATTCATTCTTACTTTATTCACATTATCAATTCAATAACAACCACAATTCCACTTTTTCTTAAAAGTTGTGTCACACTCCTTTGTCCCAAACATAGTGGGACAGAGGTAGTAATAGCAAAAGGATTCTTCCTGAGGAAGATACCGCCAAAACATATGCACCGCAAGAAATTGGTAATGCGATTTAGTAGGACATTTCCGAGAAAGTTTCAGTCTGTGCCCCAACAAAAATCATTGGTGGTGCAAACATTGGAAATATATCCCATGTTTGAGAAGGATAAAATCCACATTAATTATTTATGAATCAATTAAAAGACGCATGGGGAAATGAAAAGACAAAAATTATATCCATGCACAAGCTGTGTGCCAATCAAACAAGAGAGTAGTTGCATTTATATAAACCTTCACAACCATGAATTTTAAGGAGCCTGAACAAGGAAAAACAAATACAAAGAAGAGCATAACATTTTACACTTTTAAAGCGCGAACCATGGAATCGTTCTTGATGCTTGCATACTTGCAAATGAAGAGGTAAAAAATAAAAATAGACTTGAAATGACCTATGCTTCGGTTTTTAGCCTTCCGATTATATAAGAGAATCAAATAGGAAGAGTTTTGCCTTGATCAAGATGGGACTGATTTGAAATTGCTGTTAAATTTTGAAATTTACTTTTTTTGATAACTTATGTAACTTTCAGGTGTGAAGAACTAAGAAACATTAGTTTCGGAGGAGTTTGGTGGTGCTCGAAGAATAGATAATCAGAGAGATGAAATATATAAATTTAGATGGTGTTGTGTAACAGAAAACTAAAATCAACGGGGTGAACCGTTGCCCAAAGTTTGAGTAAAATAATTATGGATGCGGAATGAAATTCAAACTATATAATAGCAGAGGCAAAAAATGGCGGTGGAATAGCCAAAAAGATCAAGTGAATTCTGTCTGCAATGTTTCATGGATAAAGTACGGTGGACCAGTGATTCTATGTGATGGGTAATTGGGTATGTTGGTTATTTGGTAGCATTAGATTTAAATTTACTTTTTTAGAATGCAAGTTGAGTGGGTGAAAAACTAGATTTGCTATATAATTTTGTGTAGGCTTATAAGATAATGGTGCACTTTTAATTATAGTTAATTTTTAATGGAAGTTGGTGTAAAAATAAGCGTACAATGGAGAATTAAAATACACCAGAGGATATTTAATTTTTTAACCTTAAATAAAGTTACAAATAAAAACCCACCTTTTAATAATTTCATAAAACACCTATAGATAAGCTTTGACTCCCAACCATTATATTTACCGATATATAATCGGAAGTAAGAGAATGAAAGCTGTGAAATAAAGGGAGTTAGTAGATCATTTAGTTCAACATATAAGTTTGATGAGTCAATGAATGAAAACAAACTAAAGAACAAAAAAGAAGAAATACATGGGTAGGAGAAGAGGGGAAGAGAGATGGAGGCTGAGAAGGAGGTTTTGAAAAGAAATCCTACTTACAAAACGGACTTTGAGTTCTTTTTTAGTACATAAATTAAACTTCGTATTATGTTTCCCATCTATCTTTAAGGGTTTCATAGTTCAATTTCTCATATTCCGTACCGTTATGGTTGGATATGATTTTTTTACCACATGTAAAAACGAATGCAAATTATGTATCGATGAAATTTGCGGAAATAAGGAGATAAAAAATTTAGAACTACACAATAATTACATTTAACGAAATGGTAAAAAAAATGGAGCAATGAAAAAATGTTGCCGAAGTCCAATGGAAACATATGAAATAAAAAGTTTGCTTGGCATACATACACCTCTGTTCTTAAATAAGTGCAACAGTCAACTTTTCACGTTTGCCAATGCACAACTTTGACCATTAGTATATTTAATTCTCTTTTAGTAAAAGAATTAAAAAATTCATATTTTGAAAATTTAGGATGAAACAAATTTAACAAGAGATTTTTTAAAATAAATTATTAATACATTCATAAATAAAACGTAATCAAAGTAAAACATGTGAATAGTATAAAATTCCATGTGTTGCATTTATTTCAGAACGGAGGTAGCATAAAATAAAAAGTTTTATTTACCAAGGGAATATTTGCAAAAAATAAAAAAAAATGTTTTTCAACTTTTGGTTTAAACAAATATGAAATGAGTGTTTTCATGTAACCATTTCTGATAAAATTAAGTACTGAAATTAAAAAGCTGGAACAAGGTAGATGAATAATTTAATCTGTTTGTACATTTTCTATAACACAAAAAATATTTTTTGTCAAACATTATCATTTTTTACTTTTTCAAAACTACTTTTATCACATTATCAACTTTTATGATAGGACCAAACACCAGAACAGAGAAATTTACAGAAATTAATCCAGAAGTTTTATTGAATCAAGAACTGTAACAATGAACTATGGCCGAAGCCCCCAAAAGCCGAAGCTCCCAAAGAAAGAGATTATTAGTCTCAGTCTTCCCAAGTCCCAAGACAAAGAGTCCAAAAGCCTCCTCTCCCCTCCCAGCCTTCCTTCTATTTATAGTAGTCTAATACACTTATTATTATTCTTGCTCAAATAGGCCCAAATCCTAACACTCTAACAGTCTAATAGGCCCAATTCCTAATATAGGTAGATCCCTAACAATACTCCCTCCCTAAACATCCACCTTGCCCTCAAGGTGGGCGGTAGGAAACAGCCACGATCTTCTTCTTTTTCTTCTTTCTTGCACCTTTTCCTTCCCAATACCGAACTGTTTGCGGGACTATGAACTTCATTGCTTGAAGAATGCACTGATGGTTGGGATCTCTGTAATTGTTTTGTTCCTCATAACCAGATGATGATGTTTGACCTTTCACTTTAACATCCTTCTCTAGATGTATAGGTTGCGAATTGATCACACTGCCAGTACTGTTATTCATGAAGCTACTGTGTCAATCTCTAGTTGAACACAGAACAAGTTCTTCCCCAATTTCATATGAAGTTCCGCCTTCCAGTTTTTTTTTTTAATTTTGAAGAACACCCAAAGATGTCTGGCAGCTTACAAACTCCTCTAACAATCTAGATCCTGATGCCATGTGTTGCCTGATGTATATTGGGGTATTGACAAACAAGGGAAGAGCTGCACATTGATACTGGGATATTGCCATAACTATTCTTTCCAGCAAGAAGGGTTCTACTTCTATATCTCCAACATCTTCTCCTGGCTTGGTTTCCATTACAAGAACATAAGTGGAACAGTTCAGTTTTGCTTCAACTTCCAGTCCATTAACAGTAGCCTGAGGAATAGGATCCAGGGCCATACTGATTTCATCCAACTGATATTCCAGAGTATCAGCAACATACTTCTCCATCCATCTCCTAAAAACAATAATGCACAACACATTGTCCTCTTCTAACCCCTTTTTATTACCCATCATAGAAGCAATATCCTCACATCTGAAACTATCAAACTTGTTCAATGATTTCAGCCCTTCCAAGGAAATGTTTAATGAATGACAGTATATCATTTCAGATTTTAAAACATTCAGCCAGTTCATCTCCTTTACGCAACTAGACTTGTCAGCATCATGAATCGGTTTGCGGTTTCCAAAAATGTTAGCAGATTCTCCCGAAACAAGCCCAAACTCCTCCTCCTGAGCCTCTGTACCAGATCTATTTTTACCAATGCATAATTGTTCTGAAAATCTTTCCTTTACTTGTAAAGAAAGTTGACTTTTGACAAGAACAGTTTCAGAAGCAATTAGAGCTCTATTTCCAAAAGAACATGGTTGAATAAGCTTGTCAGCAATAGAAACTTGGTTGGAAATTAAATCCACAACCTCTGCAAGATTAGAATAAACATAATCTGGCCCTTGAATAACCTGTCGTTTCTCCTTGATTTCGTCTTTCTTATTCACTTGCTTGATTACAGGTTCAGTCGGTTCCATCTGAACCTTCTTTGTTGACTGGGAAATTTCTAGCGCTGATTGAGAAGTTCTTGGCGACCTCAATGACTCCTGTTTTGATGATTCCTGCGAACTGAATGAAGAAGTTCTCGATTGCGAACTGGAAGAAGTTCTTCGTGACTTCGATGAATCTCTGCTTTCTGTCTTTCCTGTCTTCAGCCGGCGTTTAGGTGGAAAATCCCTCATCAAGTCTTCCTTTAGAGCCTTCCAACTATCTTCCCTCTTTTGATACTCCCACCACCATTTAAACCAGCCACACACGGCTTCCCCCATAGCCTCTTCTGCGACATCCACTTTGAATTTTTCTGCAATAGCTTGAACTCGGAAATATTTTTCCATCTTCTCTATCCATTCGTACGCTTCATCCTCATAGAATAGAGGTAATTCCTCTGTCTGTGAACTAGCTGACTTCCTAGAATTTACTTTAGACGAATAAGGCGCACTCTGATGCGAAGAGAGATGATAAGAATGATGAGCAGAACTCTGCGAAGAGCGACAAGAGCGATGCGAAGAATTCTGCGATTGTGAACAGTGATCGGTAGTTCGCGACTTCGTCTGCGAACCTGTGAGCGATTGCGACGAACGATGACTAGGGCTCCTCGCTCGAAGTGCTCTGTTGCCATGATATTCCTGATCGGACTTTCCTGCGTGTCCATGGTGCGAGGTACTGTGTGACCTATGCGAAGAGTGTGAACTGCTCTTCCATAGATTCTGGACTCTCTTGTCCAAGTTGGTGATTGTCGCCTGAATTTCCTCCAAAGTCTCCGTCGTTTTCTTCTGTTTTCTTTCCAGCTCGTTCAATCTTGACTCCATTTGCGCACAGTGATGAACGTGCTCTGATACCAATGATAGGACCAAACACCAGAACAGAGAAATTTACAGAAATTAATCCAGAAGTTTTATTGAATCAAGAACAGTAACAGTGAACTATGGCCGAAGCCCCCAAAAGCCGAAGCTCCCAAAGAAAGAGATTATTAGTCTCAGTCTTCCCAAGTCCCAAGACAAAGAGTCCAAAAGCCTCCTCTCCCTTCCCAGCCTTCCTTCTATTTATAGTAGTCTAATACACTTATTACTATTCTTGCTCAAATAGGCCCAAATCCTAACACTCTAACAGTCTAATAGGCCCAATTCCTAATATAGGTAGATCCCTAACAATCTATGACGCACTTTCTCTAAAACAACTTCAATAATAGCAGAAACAAAATTACGCACCTTTCAAAGTAGAAACAATTGCAAACAATTCCTATTTATAATAACATAGTTAATTTTTTTCACTTTTTTGCATTTTGGAATGGATTGATCATATATAAGATAATTAAGCTAACAAATGAGAAAGTGGTCCACTAGAATCATAATAATGTCAAACTTCAAAAAATTATACGTAGTAGTACATAACAGATAAAGAAACTATACATTTCAAAACAATAATATAACATAGATAAAGTCCAATAAAGGATTAAGTATATTTTATTCTTACAATAACACACTTTTATTTTAAAATTAAATGATAACAACTTTCCAGAGTAGGTGTACTGTGTATGAGCCTTAGTTTTGGAAGAAAATAATGCTACACTAATCTATTAGCTAGTTAATTGTTTGATTGGGAAATTATATATTGTGTATTTAGTGACTTTATTAATTAGCTAAGTTTAATCTATTAGCTAGATAATTAGTTATGCTTTACATCGTTATTTTTTCGTACGCGTATGTAACACCATTGACGATTTTACATGAATGTATATATTTCTTATTATATTATCATCAACACTATACTACGAATAAATTTATTTATTTCTTGAAAATGATCATAAACAACACTACTAATGTTTCATGAAATAAGTTGTACTCCGTGCAACACACGGGTGAAATACTAGTTAGACTACAAATTTCAACATTCCAACTTCCAAGCTTTTCTCCTAGCACTGTAATAGTTATTATATATGCTGTTGAAATGATGCGCCCATAGGAAATTGTTTAGGTGCACTCAAGTGTTGTACATCCGATTCCAGCATTCACAATGGTTCAACAAATATTCCATAATAAGTGCGAGACCGTCTTTAGGTGGAGCCATGGTTTTAAATAGTGGTCCGCTACCGCTATAGCGGCTGCTATATAGCGGTCGCGGCAGCCCCTGCTACCGCTACGGGCCACTATTGTGGCGTGAATTTCAAATCACCTAGAAATCAACTACGTAACCGTGAAGCTACCGTTACGAATCTGCTACGCCGCCCGCTACACGCCACTACCAGCCGCAACCGGCACCGCCGGCACCGCATCACCAACTGGCTAATGTATAAATGTGTATATGTTGTGTGCATGGTGTACGTGAAATACATTAATGGTGGTGCATGCGGTGAAACTCTAATGTAAATGTCGCAATGCGTAAATGCATGTAATGTAAATGCAAAGCAGTGAACTGTAATGTAAATGCACATGTATCATGTATGTGGTATGGGGTATGGGACCAAACTATTCCAACGTAAATGCAAGTGCATGCTCACTAAAAATGTTGTAAATGTGGGCTAGCTAATTGCTATTATTATGGAGTATGGGACCAAGCTCTTGTTAAAATAAGTAAATGCAAGTTGCAATGCATGGTTCACTTCTTAAAATTTGATTTTGAAAGGACAACAATTTTTCATATAAGTAATACCTTTTCAGGACAGATGAGTATATATTTTTATTGAAAACTATTTATGATATAAAAATGATATAAAATGCTCTTTGTTAAAAGTACTTTCATAAAAGTATAAAATATATAACTTTCATGATATTATATTAATCAAAGTCATGATCCAAATTTTATGAAATGGCAAAATTATTTGGGACAGAGGTAGTACAATTCAATATCTTCGTGGTTCAAACATGTATTCATAATGTTTCTATTAACTACGAAATATATGTCCCAAAAAACTTTGCCATTTTCAAAACTTTGACCAATTATATCGTTTTATTGGAAATTACTTATAATATAAAAATTATATGAAAATGTTCTTTGTTAAAAGTACTTTCATAAAAGTATAAAATTTATAACTTACATAATATTACACTAATCAAAATCATGGTTCAAATTTTTTGAAATGACAAAGTTTTTTGGGACGGAGGTAGTACTACATATAATATATTCATTATTATATTCATGTGATTTTTATATGAAAATAATTACAAATTTATGACTAGATTAAAGATTGTTTATGAAAATATGATCACTTAAGTGTAATTACTATAGTACCGAGTAGTATTTTCATTCTTTGTAACGTATGTTCAAATTTTTCTTTTAATGATGATGACACTATACTACAATAATTTCTAGTCATATTTTTGTAAATAAGTTTTATTTCAGTATTTTTTTGAAAACATCTTTGTATATCACACAAGACACAAAAAAGGAAATACCAGATATGTTGAGTAAATACGCACAATATGATAAACCAAGCACAATTCAAGTGCACTATATATTGTGAATGTTAAATGAGTAATTTTGTAATTGTTAACATACGCAAAACTCAGTAAACCTATATTATTTAATACATTATTTTTTACGTTTTGAAGTGAAAATTTGGTAAGAACATAACTGCAACCAAAACAAGCTAACACTTTTTCTTCAATAGATAACATAACTTACTCGGTTAGTCTATCTTCAGATCTAATTGATTATAAATAATTTTTAATCGTTCTAAATATGAGTATAATTCTGACTACATATAAAAAATTACTTTCATAAGTACTTCAATAATTTTAGAAATTCACATGCCAAAGTGTCGATACACCAATAAAGCAAAAAAGGAGTAACCATATAAATTAATATTAACCAGGCCCAATAATTACTCTTTAGCCTAAATTTAACACAATTCTAACTTTTAAATTTTAATATTTAGTTACGATTATTTGCCTTCAGTGTGTGAACTCTGATTCACTAGTTAAGACAATTGATTTTATTTGAGAATTCAATTTAAACTACAATTAAATTAAATATAAATATATAATATAAATAGTTTTTTTTTAATTTTGAGGCCCCTAAAAATTGGGGGCCCTAGACAATTGTCTAGGCAAATTGCCCCCCAAAGCCAGCCCTGAATAAGTGTATACATATTTCATTCTTCAATAGTCTAGAAAATATATCCATCCCAACAAAATATACTAAGAAATGTTGCATAATGACACTAATAATATTTCACAATGGTCTCTTGGTGTTCATAACTGTGTTTCATAATGGTGCGAGAGGGTGCAGTACACCCGGTTGCACAACATAACAACCGCATCCTGGATATACCGGGATACCTATTAATGCTAAAGTGCTCAGTCTTTTTAAAAGCATTTGGCCTTTGGGAAATGACATAGGAATTATATACTGATGACTCCTTTCATACAATTTCTCATACACATTAATCTCAAGTAACTTGTGACCGTGGCTCAAATTTAGTCTCATTTTGAATTTTTTATTTAGTCAAGGATAAAAGTTCATGCAAAAAAATCATATTGTAGATTCATATGAGAATCAGTTGCTTGGATCCCCATTCCACAAAAACACTAAGCACTTGCACTTGAATCCTCAAGAACATCAATGTGGATACTTTATTATTTTTCAGTTTAAGACATCTAAAGGTGGGTTTTCTCTAATACACTCTTTGACACCATATTTTAACTTGACACGTTTAACTAACATTAGGGTCTAATCAAGTGATTAAGAACAATCATCATCATCATTACCCCAGTGCCGCAAAGGCTTCCACCTATGGTGGAGTAAGGGGGGTCGGATGTACGCAGTCTCACCGCTGCTTCCGCTGCACTAAAGCACAGAGAGACTGTTTCCGGATGACCTATAGTGAAAATCGCGTCGAAAATTGCATGGACTGACTGCTGCTTCATAACAAAGAAGCACAAACGTTTTAGTCGGTCGTTTTGCTTTATTCCATCATATTCTCAAGCCAAAAAATAGTGAGTCTTTGGCTCCATTGAAAATGATGGAAAGCAAGTGATTACGAAGTAAGAACAATAAGAGTGAAATTACAATTATAACTATTTTCAGCGAGAAACAGTGAAAACATAAGAAAGTTGCACTTACGGCTCTCTCAGCTGTTCCCGGAGGGCCATCGAGAATCTTAATTCGAGCTTTGGTCTCCTCGCACATCTTTTTAATGAACTCTCCCTTCCGCCCAATAATACTACCAACCTTTTGTGCAGGGACTAACATTCGAAATACACTTTCTCCGGGCCAACCATGCCATCTTTCTCCTCCATCAGTTGCTAAAGCATCTTGGGCTTCTGACCTTTGCTCAGGGCAAGATTCCTCTTCCTCCTGCTCTGGCTCCATCTGTGTCTCTTGATCTGGCTCTAGTGTCAACTCTGGCAATCCATCATTTTCATGCACGTCACTGCTTTTATCAACTTCAGCCATGGACTCACCGGAATGCAGGAAAAAGATCTTCTCAAACTGCTGCTACAAATAATGCTGTTAAATATGCAACTAAAAACAACGATTCAACTATTTCCCATCTTAATCCTTTCTATCTTTGAACATTCAGAATTCAACCACACACTTAAATTCAAGGAACACAAATTCCGATCTTGGGAAGTAAAAAACAGAAAAGGTGTAGACACGAAAACCGTGATATCATTTAGAGGACTTAGAACAGAGAATTAGTTACAAAGTTTCCTTCAACTCTAATCTCATCCATGAACAGTTAACAAAGTTTGGTCATAACTTTTATCTTTGCCTCTGTGAAACCTAACTCTAAAACAGCAAGAAACATTTTCCCATGCTACCTTAGTAGATCCTTTCTGACAACAGTGTCACTCCATGAGCAGTTGACCACGACCAACTACAAGTATGAACTATAAATACACATAAGCTTTAACCTGAACTGCTCTTTAAGACTATCTTGTTTAGATATCAACTATGCAAACCAGGAAAACACCACATGAAACAGATCAATTGTATCATTCATTCTGTGTGAATCCAGAGTACTTCCTAATGCGTTCATAACCCAATGACAGTATGCTCATTTTAAAATGAGGCCTTAAAACTGATCAAAAAAATTGCATGCTTGCTTTAAATATTAAAGGCAAATGGGTACCAATAATCTCTACTTCTAGGCATTTTGCAAACAATATTCCACTCGAGAAACTCACGACAGACTGACAGTAATCACAACTTCTTAACAACTTCACAAAAACATTTCGTTTTTTGGATCTTCACAAAAAGCGTAAATAGCTTGAGAGTTTCAGCCCCACTAGCTTTGATCATGAACTTATGTTCAATATGTATACAACTTAACTTTATTAATTTTCATCAAAAGTTGAAAAAGTTTCTGAATATAAAAAATCCACATACAATAGAAAAAATCAAATACATTCAGAACTTCTGAAACATCCAATAATTGTTATCATTCTCACTGTAATCAATCAAAAATAGATTCTCAAACAATTGCTCAAAAACCATAAAAAATCAGATATAAGAAAATATTTAAAATCATAAACATTTGAGATGGTTTATAGATATGCATGAGGTGTACCCGAACTGAGACAATGATCAAATATATTCAGTTCTACCTCAAGTTATGTGCTCAAATAATACTATACATATGGTCAACCCCCAACACTCTTTTATTGTCTTGTTTAATTATATATTTTTAACATATTGAAATTCAAATTTTTTAACTTAATAGAGTGTTTACAATAGTTTTTTATATGTAAATTTGAAATACTAATAGTATATTAATTACTGATATGTGAGAATTAACTAACTTCCATCAAAATTTGTAGTCCGAAATACCCAATATAATTTGGGATAGAGGGAGTACTGGTTTGTTACTTTGTTATAAACTATTTCAAGCTTGTTTGGTTATTTTCTAATCCTTTGTACATGAAAAAAAAGTTCAAAAATTGAACAAAATAATCCCACGTATGGTGGTTAAAAAAATAATCCCTAGTCTAGGGGTTACAAATAATACCACTTCTTTTTAACAATCTCACAGAACTGAACATAACAGACACATAACACTGTCAGAGCGTACACTGTTGTTTATAAAATTTAACATGCTGGAATTATTAATGTAAGTTTCTCAAGTTAACATATTTTTGTAAAATGTGTGAAACTGTGAATTGTTGGTATAAATTTCACCAATAATAAATATAAACTACATTTTACAAAACCATATGCACCATCTGTCCTCAAATAAGGTTCTTCATTTCCTTTTTCATCTGTCTTGAAAAATGGTTATTCTTTCCTTCAAGGTTGTGGGTAATATAATTTCCCTGCCGTCATCATATATATCATCCACACAATTTGGTTTCTTAATAAGCATGGCGACAAACATTGGAGAACAAGGGTTCAGTCGAAGCAAGACTAAGGGGGTGTTTGGATCTGGTTCTTAAAACTGCTTCTGCTCCTTCAGGAAGCAGAAGCAGAAGTTGGAGTGTTTGGGTGAAAGTGCATAAGTGATTCCGGTGCTCTAATTTACTCCTAGAATCAGTTTTTTTAGAAGTTGAGGGTGACCAGCTTATGAAAACTGATTCTGATTCTGCTTCTGTTTTAAAAAAGAAGCAGAAGCAGAATCAGTTCCAAACACCCCATGAGTAAATGAAGTGCAAGTTTGGCGGAGGTAGAAGCAATGATAATAGCGGAGTTACTCTAGATGGTAAGGAGATACTGGTAAGTGATATGTTCCGTTACTTGGGCTCCATAATTCAGAAAGACGGTGAATTAGATGGAGATGTATCCCATAGAATCATAACAAGGTGGATGAAATGGAAGAGTGCATCGGGATTTCTATGCGATCGAGGTGTCGAATAGAGTGAAGGGTAAATTTTATATGACAACAATTAGACCTGCATTATTGTATGGCGTAGAGTGTTGGGTGGTGAAATAATGTCACATTCAAAAGATGAGTGTGGTAGAGATGCACATGCTGCGTTGGATGTGTGCACATACTAGAAAAAATCGCTTTAGGGATGAAACACTAAGACAAAAGGTTGGAGTAGCACCTATTAACATAAGATGTCGGAGTCTTACTTGCAGTGGTTTGATCATGTGCGTAGAAGACCGAGTGATGCACGTGCTAGACGAGTTGAGAGGTGTGGAGAAGAGGCATGGAAGAGAGGGAAAGGGAGACCCAAACAGACGTGGATTAGAGGAGTCATGAGTGATTGCTTCTTCTTGGACTGGATGAGGATATGACTTTGGAGAGAGCAAAGTGCAGAGCGAATATTCGTGCGGCAGAGTGATATCTTATCATCTTTTTTCTCTCATCTTCTTTTTTCTTTGTGGTGTTTTTGTTTTTATCCTTTTATCTATATATATCATTTCATTTCATTTTCATTTACCCCAGTGCCACAAAGGCTCCCACCTACGGTGGGGTAAAGGGGGGTCGGATGTACGCAGTCTTACCCCTGTACTAAAGCACAGAGAGACTGTTTCCGGATGACCCATAGTGAAAATCGCGTCCAAAATTGCATGGACTGACTGATGCTTCATAACAAAGAAGCGCAGACAATTTAGTGAGCCATTTTGCTTTATTCCATCATAATCTCAAGCCAAAAAAGAGAAAAGGGTCAAATAAGGCCTTCTACTATTTTGAAGTAGTCACATAAGGCCATGTACTCAATAAAGTGTCATATAAGTACATCTACTTGTAAAAAACAATCAAATGAGCCCTAATGGCCTATTTAACACTTCTTAATCCCAGTTTCAACGTACTTCTGACCATCTTTTTAGAATACATTATACGGCATATGTCGAATATTTTACTAAGATGGGTTGAAATACAAGTCAAAAAAATCGACATGTAAGCTAAAATCGGAATTATGAGGTGTTAAATAAGCCGTTAGGACTCATTTGATTGTTTTATACAAGTAGATGTACTTATATGACACTTAATTGAGTACATGGCCTTATGTGACTATTTCATAATAGTAGAAGGCCTTATTTGGCCTCATAATATATATATTCTTTTATCTTTTTTTGTCATTTTTATGTATATCTTTTCTCTTATTATATAATCTTTTGTATCATAGCTTATCTTTTTATTTTTCTTATCTTTCTTTTCCTTTTGGTTCCCATATCATGTATTGATTCATGTTATCCGACTCCAAAATCTTTTGGGGCTAGGGCTTGGATGTTGTTGTTGTTGTAATAAGCATTTCGACCCAAATGGAAAACCTTAATTTGGTCTTTGGAGGGAGGGAGTTCTGATATGCAAAGATTGGAAATCATAAACAAAAGAACGCAGCTTTAAAGTAACAAATCAGGCAAAGTAGATGAAGGATATTAGATAGCTATGCTGACCTCACTAAATGTTTCACAATAATGAAAAGACAACAATGTTCAAGTTATATTGCTAAAAGTAAATCAGACATTGAACAGCCTATCTAAATCCAAATTATACATTGCACCATAATTAGAAGAAAACCATAAGACTTAGGGTATGTTTGGTACAACTAGCTCAAAATATACTCTTGTAAGCTTTTTGGTAAATGTTAGCTTTTAGTGACCGAAAAGATTTTAAAAAAAAAGTTTTAGTATTTTGATAAAAAGCTTATTGTTTGATTTATTTATGTTTGGTATAACAAACTATTGTGATTAATTAATGCTAAAAGATACAGACCTTATCTAGAAGCTACTCAATGTAGCTTCTCAAAAAGGACCTTTTATTTTTTTAATAGCTCTTAAGGTCAAACATACAAATAAAAGCTTATAGAGACTTTTTAAATAGTATAAAAGCTAGAAGCTAAGAACTTATTCCTACCAAACATGTACTTACATAATACATATAAAAGATAAAATAACAAACCTACACATCAAAAGCAACATATGAATGAAACATGAAGGCATATCAGCACAAGTTATAATTGTATATGCATGGTATGAGAAAATAAGATAAACAATAAATGTTGCTTTTATCCGAGCAAAGACAGACATGGGGTCTAAAAACTTATTTTGTAATTGCAAAATCCCTCCCAGAATCAGAATGGATTCATAATGAGCAATTAAACAATCATTAATTGATAAAGAAAAAAACAAGAAGATATGCTAATTTCATAATGTAATTCTAACGCTACAAAAAAACATAAAGAAAAAGCATCAAGAGTTCGATTCACTAAGCGGCTACCTAGCCTAGATCAAAGAAGTGCGAATATATACCCGAAGTTGTATGGCTAGCATAGAAGATGGATGAAGATACTTACAGGACTGCTCCGCAGCCAGCAACTGAGGCGAGAAGGAGGGGAAGAGATTAAATTTACACTGCTTGAAGCAGGACTGCAATTAGGGGTCAAAATAAAGTGAAAAGACGAGCCAAGTCAAAAGAACGAAGAAAATATTTGCTTCAGGTGATGGGAGTAAGGAGAAGAGCATCCAAACTTAAATGGGAAAACTATCAAATAAGCCCTCGTACTATATCGAAAAAGTCGATTAGGCCCTCGTACTTTACAAACACTCAATTAAGTCCTCGAACTATTAGAAAACGTTCAATTAAGCCCTTTCGGTCGGTAAGTAACCGGTTTCCCGGTTAAATGTAACATGTTTCCCGGAAGCCGCCGTTGCTGGGGTTCGAGCACATCGTCGCCATCGTCGTCGTTTAACCGGGAAATCGGTTACCTACCCACCAAAAGGGCTTAATTGAACGTTTTTTAATAGTTCGGGGACTTAATTGAGTGTTTGTAAAGTACGAGGGCCTAATCGACTTTTTCGGTATAGTACGGGGGCTTATTTGATAGTTTTCCCAACTTAAATTCATGCGACGGTTTTGGTCGTGGACAAAGTTAACTTTTTAATCAAACACTTGAGGGAAGCCGCTGTATATGACCATTTTAGCTTGGTATTGATTTTCCACGCTAAATTGTGTAATAATAGAAAAAAGTTAGATTGGTGTTACGTTTATGTCTATATTGAGGGAAGCTACTGTATATGATCATTTTAGCTATTTTTCATATAATTGTTTCTTTATTTGATCATTATAATATATATTAAACATTTTTTTTCATAAATCAACAAAAATAGCTAATAACAGCCACTTCATAAATTTCAGCAGAATCAGCCGATTTAAGTGTTACCAAACGGGCTCTGAAATTTTCTGATCCAGATTCTCTATTTAAATTTGGTTTTGTTTGAAAGATGTCTAACAGGGCCGTCTAATTAATTTGGATCCCTCAGTTCAAAATGGCAAATTAAAGTCCATTGAAACAAGAAAGAATACAAAACTTAACAAGGAAAAACAAATATACTAGATAGTTAAGTGAAATATAAGTTTTCTTATGTTTAAAGACCACGAACTAGACAATCTAAAGACATCCTAAGAGAACGACGCCTAAAGACGAGTTTTAAAACTCGATAAGATCCAGCAAACTAGATAGAAAACGCTTTAAACAGAACTAAATACGACAAGATATGATCAGGTCAATTTCTACACGTGTTCGAAGTGAAATCGGAAATGTTTGTGAATTTCAGGTTAAGTTGTACCTTATACTTAATGCATTGTAAGTTGAGTCGGAACAATAGTTTTAGAACTCAAAATGATCTTTCCAACGAGATATAATACGCTTGAAACGGAAGAACATACAACAAGATATGAGTGTCACAAATACTAAGTCCGAACTCCGTGATTTAGCGTTTTCAGCGTAAATGGAGCATTTTTAGTGTAAATACAGTCTGGAATTAGAAATTCACCTCATTGGGTTGTCTTCTCGTAATATTTTGAAACCGACACCTCAAGACGAGTTTTAGAACTCAATAAGATCAGACGAACGAGATAGAAAACGCTTTAAACGGAACTAAATACAGCAAGATATGATCAGGCCAATTTCTACACATGTTTGGAGTGAAATCTGAAATGTTTGTGAATTTGAGGTTAATTTGTACCTTATACTTAATGCATTGTAAATTGAGTCGGAGCAATAGCTTTAGAACTCAAATTGATCTTTCCAACGATATATAATGCACTTGAAACTGAAGAACATACAACAAGATATGAGTGTCACAAATACTAAGTCTGAACTTTGCGATTTAGTGTTTTCAGATTAAAATGGAGCATTTTTAGCGTAAATACAGTCTGGAATTTGAAATTCGGTTTATTAGGTAGTCTTCCCATAATATTTTGAAATTGATGCCAGAAAACGAGTATTAGAACTCGATATGATCTAGCCAACGAGATATAAAATGCTTTAATCGGAACTAAATACAACAACATATGATCATATCAATTTCAATACGTGTTCGGAGTGAGATCAGGAATGTTTATGAATTTCAGGTTAATCTGTACCTTATACTTAAGGCATTGTTAAGTGAGTCGGAATAGTAGCTTTAGAACTCAAAATGACCGATCATTTTGAGTTCTAAAGCTACTATTCCGACTCACTTAACACGGCAAGAGATGAGTGTCACAAATACTAAGCCTTAACTCTGTGATTTAACGTTCTCAGCGTAAATAGAGTGTTTTTAGCGTAAAATGCAGTCTGGGATTTGAAATTCGGTTCATTAAGAAACTCCAAGCTCTTAAGAAACCACTCAAGGAACTTAACAAGAATGCTTTTGCTCATATTTCTTCTAAGGTAAAGGACTCAAAGAAAGAATTTAAGAGATTACATAGTCTTCTCTTACTTTCCCCTTTGGATGATACCTTAAAGAATGATGTCCAAGTAGCTAAGAAGAGAGTGCTTTTTCTTAAAATGGCCGAGGATGCTTTTTATAGGCAAAAAGCGAAGGCTATTCATTTGATCCAAGGGGATAGATGTACCAAATACTTCCACTCTATTGTGAAGAAGAGGGCCGCCAAGAATTCCATTACGGCTTTAAAACTAGCCAATGGGGAACTAACTACCTCTATGGATCAAGTTGCAAAGGAATTTGAGAATTTTTATGTCAATTTGTTTGGAACCCCGGTAAGTTGTCCTCCAATTGAGCCTAGCATAATTACATCCGGGACATGTCTAAGTACGGACCAAGCTTTAGGGCTGATTTCCCCCGTTTTAGACATTGAGATTAAAAATGCTATGTTTGATATTGGGGATGACAAGGCCCCGGGGCCGGATGGTTTTACCTCTGCCTTTTTTAAAGAAAATTGGTCAATTGTTGGGGAAGATGTGGTTGAGGCCGTGAGGGGCTTCTTTGAGTCTGGCAGGTTATTAAAGCAAATCAATCACACGATTATTGCTTTAATCCCTAAAACCTCACACTCCCCCACAGCTGCTGATTTTAGACCAATTGCATGTACAAATGTTCTTTATAAGGTCATTACTAAAGTCATTGCTAATAGAATGATTCCATGTTTACCGGGGCTAATTGACCATGCACAGGGGGCTTTTGTAGATGGGAGGCTTATGATGGATAACATTTTTCTTGCACAGGAATTGGTAAAGGGGTACACTAGGAAGCATTGCTCCCCCAGGTGTATGATTAAGGTGGACCTCAGGAAAGCCTATGACACCATTTCTTGGGACTTTCTTTATAGTGTACTCCTTAACATTGGTTTTCCTTTACAACTTGTTAAATGGATTATGGAATGTGTCTCTACCGCTTCCTTTTCTATCTCCATTAATGGAACATTACATGGTTTCTTTAGAGGGAAGAGGGGATTAAGACAAGGTGATCCTATGTCCCCACTCCTATTTGTTTTATGTTTGGAATATTTGTCAAGGTTGTTAAACTTGAGAACTACATCTGATTTTAACTTTCATCCCAAGTGTGGTAGCTTAAAGATTTCACATCTTGCCTATGCTGATGACCTTATGTTGTTTTGTAGAGGTGATACATATTCTGTTAAAGTTTTGATTGATGCATTGAATGAGTTTGGGGAGGTATCAGGGTTAAGAGTTAACTTTGACAAATCTAATATTTTCTTGGGAGGTGTTAGAGACCATGACCTTACGGCCATACTTGACTTGGTGGACTTCAAAGTTGGAGCCTTCCCTGTCAAGTACCTCGGCATTCCCCTCTCCCCCCTTAAACTAGCTATAGCTGAATATGCCCCCCTTTTGGAAAAGATCTCTGATTATCTCAGCTCTTGGAACACCAAGACATTGTCATATGCTGGTAGAACTGAATTGATTAAATCTGTTATTCAGGGAGTACATTCTTTTTGGTTACAAGGTGTTTCCTATACCCCAAGCCATCCTTGATAGAGTGGTCTCAATTTGTCGTATTTTCTTTTGGGGATGCAAATTTGCCAGAGTTGCTTGGGCAGATATGTGTCTCCCAAAGGAGGAGGGGGGCTTGGGTATAAGACATACTAAAACTTGGAATAATGCTTTACTCTCTAAGACCCTTTGGGATATTCACCTTAAACGAGACACACTTTGGGTGAAATGGGTGCATGGAGTCTATCTTAAAGGTAGATGTGTGTGGGAATTTTCCCCACACACTAGGGACTCCCAGCTTACTAAGAAGCTAGGGCTGATCCGAGACATCCTTGTCTCAAAATATGACTCCATTGAGACCACAATAGCAGCCCTCTCTAAGATGGTTACAAATGGGAAATTGTGCTCTTCAAATGTGTATGACTTGATTCGAGTTAAGGGCACTAAACAGGTGTGGATGCCCTTTATTTGGAAAGCTTACATACCTCCTAAGTTCTCATTCATTGCATGGCTTGCCTTCCGCAACCGCCTTGCAACGTATGATAATCTTAGTAGGCTTGATGTGATTAACATTTGTCCATTTTGCAAGGGTGAACCGGAGACGGTGCCACACCTTTTCTTTGGTTGTCAATTTACAGGCACAGTTTGGAGCAAAGTAAGAGCATGGATTGGAATACCTAGACAGATGTCTACTCTGGAAAGCTCAGTTAAGTGGATTAGGAAGGAGCATGCAGGTGCGGGGATCAAGGCCAAGGCAGTCAGAATTGCATTCATCTATACTATATACTGGTTATGGAGAGTTCGGAATGCCACCAGATTTGATGATAAGAAGACCCAAGAGGAAGACGTTTTTGCCTGGATCCAATACATGGTGTATAAGATCCTCTATAGTATTTACCCTCATGAGCTTATTACGTTTTGAAATTTTATAGGGTGCGGCTACATGCCTTTTTGTGTGATTTGGGACTGATTGTATAGCCCACAGGTCTATGGTATATCCCATGTTGGGATAGCCCCATTTTTGTCCCCCACTTTTTTGCCTTACTTGTACAGAAACTCTTTTGGATGATATATATAATTACCCTTTATCCAAAAAAATTGAATCCGACGGAGAAGACGAGTTTTAGAACTTGATAAGGTCTTTTAAACGAGATAGAAAACGCTGTAAACGGATCTAAATGCAGCAAGATATGATCAAATCAATGTCTACACGTGTTCGGAGTCAAATAAAAAATGTTTGTGAATTTCAGGTTTATCTGTACCTTATACTTAATGCATTGTAA